GGCAAAGGCAGCAAAAGTAGAGGAAAATCAAATCAAATCAAAAAAGGAAAAACGAAAATGAAAAGCGCAAAAGGGAGAAGCGATGGAAAGAAAATCTCATTAAATGCAAGCCAATGACGACGGACGTGTACACACTTTTGCTGACCGATAGATAGAAGGCAACAAAAGCAGGAGCTACCTTGTGCCGACAACTTTATTTACGACCGGACGACAAATCCCCAACAATTCACAAAAAAAAAAAATAAAAATAAAAGAAAAAAATGATAAAAAGCTGAGGAAAAAGTTAGTAAAAAAAAAATAAAAGGCGAACAACAAAGGTTGGGGCCAGGCGAGCAGTCGAGCCGTGGAGGCCTGGACTTTCAGGACTCGCTCGTTGTCATAGCAACGCAGCTAACGCGTCACTTTACGTGTCGGATTCGGGTGTTGGCAGCCATATTTGCTCTTATAGCGCTTTACTTGCCTTTCGACTAGGGGCGGCGCGGAGCGGGGCGGGTCTGGCTGGCTGAACCGCCCTTATGGCTGGCAGCCAACCCGGCGAGCAACCCTCCCAGTGTTAGCCAAGCCTGACTGCCACAATTGTGGGTTAGGGGTTGGGTCCTGCAGCTACCCTTGTGTCTGTCGCTGGCGTTGCTTCATTTGGCTTCATTTTGCTCTGGCTGCGGGCTTTTGCCCAGCGCCAAGGACCAACAAGGACCGTGGACCGAGCATTTGGCACCACTCGCTGGCGCGTCCTTTGGCTTGTGTCCTGGCATAGTTAGCTCTGCCTGACTGCCACGTACCCTACGCCCGTCCGTCCGTCCGTCCATCCGTTTGTCCCTCTAGGTGTTGCTTGCCTGTCTGTCTAGCTGGCTGCGTTGTCCTTGTACTTCTGCTGCTGCTTCTTCTTCTGCAGAGAGCGAGAGAGAGAGAGAGAGCGCGCGCGTGTTGTGGGAGCTTATGTAAGGCGCCTATGTACTTGCCACATGTCGCCCAGCCTCCAGGCCAGCCCACTGCTGCGTCCCTCCTTGTCTATTTGCTTTATTTGGCAGTTGTTTTATTTGTTTGTTTGTTTGTTTGTTTGTTCCTTCTGTGTTTGTTGATTTGCGGCCATTTGCCGTTGCTCGCTTCGCTTTCTTTTTAATATTAGTCGCAGCGCACGTTCTTTGTGCCTGGCTCTGCCCAGGTGAGCTTTGCTAGCCCATGCCTGACAAGGTCCTGGCCAAAGGATAATAACTATGTCAGATATATGCACAGCAACTGGATCGATGCATTGAGCCGACTTCGCAACTAATGAGAAACGCGACAGTTCATAGTTGATTGACAGACTGAGAAGCTTGATTGATGGGCTATGAACTGATTGACTGACTGATTGACTGACTGACTGACGGACTGACTGACTGAATGACTGACTGACTGACTGACTGACTGACTGACTGACTGACTGACTGACTGACTGACTGATTGACTGATTGACTGATTGACTGACTGACTGACTGACTAGATGACTGACTGACGGACTGACTGACTGACTGACTGACTGACTGACTGAATGACTGAATGACTGACTGGCTGACTGACTGACTGACTGACTGACTGACTGACCAAGAGACTAACTAAGTCTATGCCTAACGAAGCTCTTGATGGATTGATTGTCGTTCTGCTCGCGCTTTCGTTGGCTTGATTGAATAATTGATTGTTTGATTGCTAAATTGATTGACTGGTTGATTGATTGACTGCTTAGCTAAGTGACTTACAAGCTAATCATATTTTTTAATGAAAGATTGATTGATTGATTGATTGACTGACTGCTTAGCTGAGTGACTTAAAATGTTATTAAATTTTTGATTGATTGATTGATTGAAACGTCACTTACTGACTGTCATTTCGCTTGCTTGATTGATTAGACTAACTGATTGATTGCTTGATAAAGCGACAGCTAGCTGTTTGATTGTTTGATTGATTGAATGACTACATTGTTGATTGATCAATTGATAAACTAACTGTTTGAGTGATTGATTGATTGTTTGCTTGACTGACAGACACTGCTTGACCGAGCAGCAGACTGACTAGCTGATAAAGAATATGATTGACTGACAGGCTGATTGAAGCTATGATTGCTTGACACACAGATTCTCTAGTCTGATTGACGAACTAACTACAGCTTGATTGACTGACTGACAGACTGCCTATGGCACATACACATACCTATAGCTATGCATGTGTGTATGTAGAGCCGTTCGAGCGAGCTTTCACTGTAGCTGCTTTTGCACTTTGTAGCATATGCAAGAATCCATTGACAAACTCCTGGAGGAAAGTAGTGAAAAGCATTTTCCCATATTCATTTTCCATTTTCCATTTCCCATTTTCCCATTTGGAAACAACGAATTGTTAACGCAAATCGGTTCGCAGTTCGCTGCATTCATTTCGTTTGTTTCGATTCGTTTCGGTTTTTGTTTTGTTTTCTGTTTTCTGTTTTCTGTTTTTTTATCAGATCGCGATCCTCATCTGCCGCGCCCCAGGCAGACGCAGACCCCGAAATACATATAGATATGGCTAGTTAGACAATTGTTTCGATTACGCAAAGCGGCAAAGGGAGCGCGGCGAATGCAAAACGTGGAGATTGCGCTAAGCCGTAGAAGGAGCTGCCGATCTGGCAGGATAATAGCTCAAGGCTCTATGGCTCTATTGTTCGACGCTTGAATAAATAGCGTCGGCTAAGCAAACAGCAACAGCAACAAATACGAGCAGACATAATTGGGTTGCCAAATATTGCGCAGCCAACAAGGATCAACAAAGCAGGGATAACAAGGATAACAAGCAGGCAAGACGCGGCCTCAGCACCCACGGCCAGGCAGCTAGGTGCCGCATCCCTTTAGCAAGTACCTGAACGAACGGAAACAGACAATCGACAATCGGCAATCGACAAACGACAATTGGCCGTGTCCTGTGCGCAAGGATCTGTCTGTCCGTCTGTCTGTCTGTCTGTCTGCTGCTCTAGCCAGATAGCATCAAGTTGAGAAGCTAAGTAGGCGGCTAAGCTGCACTTAAAGAGTTCTCGATCTGCAATCTGTCGCCTATCAAATTGTGCGTGAAGGCGATGGGGCAGGAGCAGGGGCAGGGGCAGGGGCAAGGCAAGGTGCTCGGCCGGCCGTTGTTGAACGGCAGCTGCCACAGCCAGGATCAGCGACAAAAGCTTGCGTCGCCGTTGTCCTTTCATCTGCACCGACAACAGCAAGGGGGACGCCTGTCATAACTGCACAATGCGAGCAGAGATCGGCAGCTTCATCAACGGCTTCAGCTTCCCTTTGGCTTTTGTTTTGCCACGCCCCGCGCCGCCCCGCAGCTACGGCTGCCTCTGGCCCATATAAATTTCATAGTGGTAAGCGATATGGTTGCTTGTTCTTTTAATTGCTCGAGGAAAACGATAGGCAATCAGCTTCAGCAATCTGCGGATCCTGGCAAGCGGCTCTCTCCACTCGTCCTGACTGACTGCTCGTCCTGGTCCATGAAACAGCAACAAATGCCATTGTCGACCATTTGGCCTCAACGTCGGCGGTTTGGCGGCGTTTTTTTTTTGATTGTTGTTGCTGTTGATTGTTGTCGGCGGACACAACACAAAACTATATCAAATTACAGCAGGCGATGCGGCGGCAGGCAAAAAAAATATGTGTAAAGGCAAAGGTAAAGACAGAAGCTGAGGCTGGCCAAGTGCCAAGCTAAATGCATTTATTTTTAGTCAAAAAATCGAACTTTTATCAACGAATTTATAAAAAGCTCAGCGAAATTCTAATTAGAAATCATTGTCCCTAAAAGCTTAGCTTGGACACGCACCCAAGCTCACCTGATTAGTGGCCTATTTGACAGGCCAGCTTAGGCACAAGCCTGGACATGCACCGCATCAGAGACACACACACAACCCTCAGCTCAGACACACACTCCAATATAACAAGTTAACGAAACGGCACATGAGAGAGTCTGTATCCATGTCACGTGACTCACAAACCTTAGCAATGACACACACCTTCTTTCTCTCTATCATAACGAAGCCATAGCTTTGCAAAGAAGCAATGCGAGCTTAACGAAAATATCCCTATCCTTGCCACAGTTAAGGCCTAGACCTGCTTTTTAGACTTCCACGCTGTAACCCCTGACACACCATAGCTTTAGCACACAGCCAGTTTGAATTTGCCGCCTTAGTGTCTTCGGGACGTCGTGCATGGTTCAAAAACTAGCTTTAACCATGAACGAGCTGCCATATCGTGCGCATATCCTGCGCATTGCCATGTGAGTAGTGGCAACACTGCACGCACAGACATGTTTTTTTATTGTGTTTTGTTAGCCGTGCGTGCAGTGCCTGCCTTACAAAGAGTCAGTCGAGAGCGGACGACAACCGCCACAACAACTTGGTTGAACAATTGTCAGTGCAGGCAGCAACAACAACAACAACATCAGCAGCAGCAAAATTAACTAAACAGCAATGCCAGCGTCTAGCTAGCTGCCACAAGAACAACAAGATCAACTGCGGCAGCAGCAATTGTTAAACAACCAATTAGAGCCGCGAAGTAAGCGCAGCTTCAGTTCCGTTACTTTTGCCCCGAACAGCTGTGTGAGTCAGTGCCAGTGTCCGTGTCCGTGTCCGAGTGTGTGTGTGTGCGTGCGTGTAGGTGAGAGCATGCAGCCGATATGCTGCTAACAGTACAAAGATCCGTTACTTCAGACCGTTTTTAGCAATTATAGAAGCACACTCACAAATCTATATACAAACATATTATATATAGATAGCTCGCAGTGTCCTGCGATTACATAAAACAAAAGTAAGGACAACAACAAGAATTAGCCATTCAAAATTTATTGATTGTGCGAGTCAATGTGTGTGCGCGCACAACTACAGACACAGCAACTAATATTTGAACAGAGTTAAACAAACGTCGCCTAGTCCTGGCATAAAAAATCAATAGACATCAGTGGCAGCAGCAGCAGCAGCAGTAGCAGCAATAACAAGACAAGACAACGACAACGACAGCAACAGAACAACAACAACAACGAGAGGCCACAAAACGCAGCAATAGCAACAACAATAGCAATAACGGATAATAGACGACAAACACACAAAGCGCAAAGAGACCGAGACCGAGAACGAGAACGAGAGCGCGAGCAATAGTGTGAGAAAGGGAGTAACAAAGACGTAGCAGGTAAGTCGACAGCAGGCAGCATAATAAAGTTAAAGTTGAGCAAGTGTCAAAAGAGAGGGCGCGAGAGTGCGAATCGGCGTGTGAAACGGGGGAAGCAAGCGAGAGCGAGAGTGCCTAAAAAGTGCAGTTAATTACGCGAAAACAAGAACAGCAGCAACAACAAGCGGGGGGCGCCAGTGTTGCTGTCCTGCAAGCGCGCACAGCAGGCGCCAGTGTTGCCGTTGTCACTGCAGACTTTCCGGCACCTAGCAGCAGCAGCAGCAGCAGCTTTATTTGTTTTGTTGTTGGCATTGCTGTTATGACTGCTGCTGCTCCTGCTGCTGCTTTGTGTCATTAATTTGATTAAAAACAATTTTTGCTTCTGCATGTGACGCTGCTCATGGCACATCCTTGCTGTATTTATTGCATTATGTAAGCGGCAGCACAACACTTTTGTTGCCACTTAATTAACTTTTATTGCTCATACAGCGCCAAGCCCAACGCGCTCTCTACCTCTCCCTCTCACTCGCCCATAAACACACTCACACATACACACACCAATACAGAGCTTGGTTTCCTTTGTGTGTGTCGCGCGCTTTGCTGCTTGGCAACTTTCTGTCTAGTTTTATGATGACTAATTGACACACACACATACATACATAGAGTGGGCGAGAAGCGGCATATCGATCTTAGCTTATAATTATCGATAATTGCATGACGTTAGCAAAAATGTAATGTGCAATATGTCCGTGTGTATGTGTGTGTGTGTTAGTTTGCAGCGAATTCAGTTCAAGGCAACGCCTCCATTGCCGCCATTGCTTGCGCACTAACCCCTCTCCCCCCACTCCCGTCGTCGCCTTCGCCCTTTTTGTCAGCTACTGACTTTTCGCCTTTTGCTTCACACTTTTTCCAGCTGACTGAACATAATCATAAAAGGAATAACAACAACAATAAAGATGCACTCACTGCCGCTGCTATTGCTGCTCATCGCGCTGCCGGCGCTAGCGCTGACTGAGAACGCAACGCTGCCCGCTGTCGATGCCGGTGTGCTGGGCAGTCCTAGCTTTAGTTCAAGCACAGCTGCACCGCCGCCGCCGCCTCTGTCCGCTGACTACGACAACTTTACCGTTAGCAGCAGTAGCAGCGATGCCAGCGCTGAGCAGAGCAACAACAACAACAGCAGCAGCAGCAGCAGCAGCAACAACAACAACAACAACAGCAATAGCAGCGCAGCGACAGCGATTACGACAACAACAACAACAACTAGCAGCGCTGCAGCTACTTTGGCAGCCATTGAGCAACAGCAGCAGCAAGAGACTACATCCAGCGTCGGCGTCGCTGTTGCAGCGCTGCCGCCCACAAGCAATGGTAATGGCACAGCAGAGGCACCAGCGACGGTGACGGCGACTGCAGCAGCGCCGCCACATGAGATAATTGGCTCGGCCACGCCCAATAAGGGCGAACAGGAAGCCATTTTACGTGCCTTGGACTGGCTAAAGGAGAAACGCGCCTCGGACTATGGCTGGGGCAACGACACGCACGTCGTCATCCTGGCCAAGGAGCTGTCCGGCGGTCGGGACCCCAACGAGAGCGCCGACGCCCATTTGCTGGTGATACAAGAGCTGGAGGACACGCTCTCCGTCAAGGAGATGGAAATCGAGATCTTGGCCATGCTCGATCGCCATCATACGCTGCCCAAGCCGCTCAATCTGGACAAGCTGGCCCGCTATGTGCTGGCCCTCGGTTCGCTGTGCAAGGATCCCAAGCATTTCCATGGCCACGATCTGGTGGCCACGCTGCAGCATCACGAGCCCGCCCAGGACATCGAATTCGCCTTGACCACCCTCTCCGCCTGCAGCTCGGCGGCGCACGTACGCAAGCGTCAGATACGTCGCCTCCTGGACATAGCCAGCGGCGTTACGGACCAGAGTGTCGATGCCATTGCAATGGTGATCCTGGCGCTGCGCTGCATTGTGACCGATCATCGACACCGCCATCTGCAGCACTTTGTGCGCCGCCCGGCCCGCGGCCTGGCCAGCCTGCAGGATCAGCGCGGCAGCTTTGGCTCGCTGCGCAGCACGGCGCTGGCCATGCAGGCTTTGCAGGATCTGGAGTATGATCCGGCCGGGCACTGGAATCGCACAGCTGCCTCAAGGTATATACTGAGCAGGCAGCGCGCTGATGGCGGCTGGAGCGAGGAGCCGCTCCAGGATGGCCAGGAGCCGGACATTGGCGTCGGCCTCACCGCCGACATCATTCTAGCCCTCGGCTGGAAGGGACTGGGCGCAGTGCGCGCCCTCCAATGCGACCATGTCATACGAGAGAGCAACGATCCCACAGGTGAGCTCAACAAGTTCACCTGCTTTCTGTTCCTGCCAATAATAACTTTTCTCATGCTATTCAGAGAATGGTGAGCCGAAGCTGGCGTTGCCCTTCGGACTTAGCTCCTCGGCCGAGGAGTCGGACTCCAAGAACATCTCGTACACCTACACCCTGTGGGTGGGCTCCAATGTGACCGAGGCCTTCTCCCTCTCGCTCGTCTCGCCAAAGAACACGAGCTTCTTCAAGGCCATGACACAAGCAGCCGAACTGGATCCAAGGTTAGTCCCATCTCTATACACAGGGAATGCCCAAGCTCAAGCTCACCAAATACTTTAATTCCATCTCCCTAAATATATAATATGATCTAGTTGACGATCCTTTAAAGATAAAGCCACAAACTTTAAGGGAAACTAAACATAAATCTATCCCTAATCAACTATTGTATACAAATTTAGATACAACTTAGTATATATAGATATATATATATATATATATATATATATATATATATATATATATATATATATATATATATATATATATATATGTAATCAATAGAAATGAGTCTAAAATATTTCCTGACTTTGCAGATTCGTTTTCGAGGCGCGCGAGTGGCCCAATGGACACTATGTACACACGCTCTATGGCAAGAACGAGGAGCCGCGAGGGTAAGTCTGCCCAGATGAGAGATTATTGTAGCTGTATTACCTAATATATTGAATCTGTCTCTGCATCCAGATATCACTATTGGCTGCTCTACAGATTGCCCGAGCTACCCGATCCAAATAATACGCCTGGGAATCAGCTTATTGCGCCTGTTGGTGGGTAGCCAGGACATAATCAATATCTGATCCAATCGAATCTAATCTTTTGTATTTATATAATCTTTATCGATTAGGTGTCGATGAGCTAATGGTCGAGGATGGCGAGCATTATCTCTATTGGTATAAGAAACTTTAAGCACGTGACACGATTTGCCGGCCTTAGTCCCTAAAAACTAAAGATAAGCCACTAACTAGCAGGATACTCCAAGGATATAACTACAACAACAACAACAACTATAACACTATATGCATACCTACATATATGCATATATGTATGGTTCTCTATATACGTATATACATACAACAACAAAATACACGCGAGTATATAATAGCATTATATACAAGGATATATATATAACTGAATAATCAAAACTACATTAACCTACCAGACACCCCCCCCCCCCCACACACATTTACAGACATACAAATATGCCCTAACGATAGCTTAAAATTGAGTTTAGATTTAAACAACAAAAAATACTAAAAAATACTTTAAAAATACTGAAAAAAAAGTAAGGCTAACGAAAATTACAAATTTACGCACGACTCTAACGCACTCTATACTTTTTTTTGATAATGTCCACGTCAAAGTTCACGTTTGTTGACAAGCAATTCTTCTTCATGATCACCTACGGCTGTTAAATATTTAACAGTTAGTTGAGCTTTGCTTTTGATTTTGACCTTGCTTTGATTTTGACTTTACACAATTCTTAAAACTAAATGTTAAATATTTAACATGCAGTTAAACTGACTCTGCTTGTTAACTTTGACAGAAGGACATCAAATACATCTAACTCACACACTAACAGACAGACAAGGCTAAGACAAACAGAAAGAGCATCACGTCTTTTCTCGCTCTCCCGCTTCCTCTCTTTAAGCGAGTGCTAACAAAAGTGAGGTTAGCTGGAGATAAGAGTTGAGCGCCTGCTACATGTTTGCACTTATGTTTGAATGTTACACACATAAACACACACACACACACACACACACACACACACACACACACACACACACACACACACACATACGCATACGCACACAGAAAATATGCTTTAAATGTTATTGAAAGTAAGCAAGAAAGAGAAAGCAAATGCTAATATGAGAATCGCTTAGAAGAAAGCTCAAGAGCTAAGCGTCCGTCAGTCCAAGCAAAGCATATTATACAAAACACCGTAAGTAACAATAAGTGATTGAAAATCATCCCTAGACATATATATAAATATATATAAAACATATAGACATATACATACACACAAGCATACATATATGTATATATGTGTATGTGTGCATAAATATATAAAAAATACCTGCATATACATACATAAATATACACATATAAAAACAAACTAGTTTTATATGAAATATGAAAACAATGTCCGGAATATATTATACTATATCTATATATATATACATATATGCATACATATATAAATATAGTATAAATATATATATGATATATGATATACTATATACGAAAACTGAACGAAACTTCATTTAACGAATACTTTAAAGAACAACGCAACATTTAACGCTATCCACGCTCATACGCCTACCTATCCTACTTATATATATACATCTAATCTACTTCTACATATACATTCATATACTATACGCATCGCTCATTCAAGGCCAAAGCAACATAATAATCCCCCGCAAGTAACTAACTCATCGAAATTCTATCCAGTAACACACTTATATATATATATATATATATATATATATAATATAAATATATATATATATATATTCATTTCCCTACGTACTCCCCATCTAAAGCTTGTGCACGAGCTCAAGAACATGAATTTTTGCAACTGCTTGGCGACGACAAACAACCGTCAGCAAGCAGTCCATGTGGCCAAGCAGTTCGCTTAGCACACGCACACACACACAGACAGCAAGCAGTTCATCCGCACTCAACATGTCCATTTCTACTATCCTTCTCTCTGTCACTCTCCCACACTCAGTTGCCCGTTCATTTCGTTCTATTCGAAATGCAGTTAAACTTAACCTCGAAAAGCAAACCTAAAAACCTAACCTAAAAACAAATTTTTAAGTGCAGCTGTGCAAAAACTAACCTAGCTAACTAAAATCTTAATGGTTTATATTATAAGCATGAAATTGAGCTTTTTAATTGTGCAAATCAAAGCAAAAAAACAAAAACAAGCAACAAAAACAACAACAAAACAAAAAAGAAAAACTCAAAAATCACAATAAATTAGAAAAAGCAAAAAAAAAACAAAAATTTGTTTTATTTAATGATCTTCGAGTAGAGAAACTATGACAAAAGTAGAATTTATTTAACATTTGTTGACTTCAGATTATTTATCTGCTGAGCAGCTCACTCGACGCGAGGATATCGAGACGGACTATGCTCGAAGCCAACCAAGTTTGCTGTTTTTTAAAACATTGCGTTTATTTCAATAGATTTTTGTTCATTTAGCGTAGATTTGAAAAGCATATAATATATAATAATAATAATATTAAACATATGATTTATAACTGGATTTCATTTAGCAATTCATTAGCTTGGAAACGTGAATCGCATATTGAATATAGATCCAAAAAATATGTAAAGTTCAAACATCGATTCGAAACGAACAACAAAGATGCCTCGAAATATTGTAGATATATATATATATATATATATATATATATATATATATGTATATATATATATATATATATATATATATATATATATATATATATATGTATATATATATATATATATATATATATATATATATATATATATATATTTATACGATTCATATGATTAAGATTTAGCTAGTATTAAAATGGGAGGAGCTTGAAAAGTTGGCGTAGGAAACGGCTTAGTTATAGCACGGCGCAATATTGAATATTGAAAGAGCTGGATGTCCTTCAGATCGGAGCTAAGCTCCAACTATACATGCACACACACATATACACATATATATATATATATAGAGTTTAACAACTCCTAAACATTGGCTGGCATGAAAATAGTCTTAAGGTCAATCGTTTATATATATATTCGGATATATAGAAAATAGAGGAGCAAGCCTAAGCATACTTTCTCTCCTTCTCTCCTTCTAAATGCTCAAAAGGCCATGTATATGATATATCTACATATATTTATATATGTATATGTATATATAAGCAAAAATAATTATCGATAAAGTAAATTTGAAGAGGCAAAAATTCAGTTAACATTACGACACTTATTTATAAACATACATACATATATATATATCCATATATATACATATATATATTTATATATTTCTATAGAGAGAACTTCTATGTTTTGCTACGATTTGAGAAAGGCCGCATAGAGCACGAAGGCAACAGAGTTACAACATCAACACGATTGCTAGGATGCACATGCATACATATATACATATATATATATATATAGGGTACTTAGTGTATTCATGGATTATACATATACATATACATATATAGGCACACGCACACACACACACACGCGGACACAGATAAGATTATTTAAATTGTTGCTTAGCTTTTACATTCATTAAAGCTGCTTGGAATCGCATCTGGCTTAATCTAGGCTAGTATATATAGATAGATCGATTTATATCTATCGATATATATATATATATATATATATATATGTTGTGTATATTATATTGTTTTGTATTTTGTTCTGCTTAGCTTTATATAGTGCTGCGACGTTGTTCTATGTGACCATGAGAAACCATGTCGTGCTGCCCTTGCTGAATGAGTCACGCATCATGCCGACTTTATATATATGTGTATATATATATAGATATTGATATAGCAATCTACATGGCAAAGCTCTGTTGAAGCGCGTTGCGCAGCTCGTTGAGCACCATCGATCCAATGACCATCTTCTCGCAGTTGACCAGCAGCGTGAGCGCCTCATCCGTTTGCCATTGCAACGTGAGCAGAACGAGACTTTTGGAGCTCAACGTTTGGCCAGCAAAGCAATGGAGCTGGCTGTTGGCCGAGCTGTATGTATGGGCCACATTGATGCATTCGTAGACCTTTTGCTTGAGCGTCTGCAGATCGGTTAGATCGCGCTGCACGCCACGCAGCTCGCACTGATGCTCGTTCATGCCGCGCAGCTTGGCTCGCTCCTCCTTGTGACAGCTCTCGCCGATCTGCACAGAGCGCACCAGCTCGCCAACTGGCGGCTTCAGCTGGACACGTGCACAGCCGCCGCTGGAGATGAGCTCGAAATCAATTGCATGCGTTGTATCATTGAAGTCGACGCCCAAGATGCCGCTCGCCAGCTGCTCTGGCTGCAGCTGAGCGATGGGCGCGAATTCGCTCAGCTGCATGCCCGGCGGCAGCTGCTGCTGGCCCATCCGTATGCTGGTCAGCACCTGGTCGCTGCGATTCTGGAACTGCAACTCAATCGTGCACATTGCGGCCGAGTAGAGATGCGGCGAGCGTGTGAAGCGATACGACAGCTGCAGTCCGTAGCCGCTCACCTTGTTCAGCAGCTCCTTGTGCCTGAACTCCGTGTGCGAAGGGCCAACCAGCTCGACCCGATTGCTCGCCTGCAGTGGCTGCAATGCAGACTGTCCCGGCAGCATTGGAGTGCCTGCAAATGATATAAGCTAGTGAGCAAGTCTTATCAAGAGAGAGGCCGATAGATAAGGGCGGAGGACGAGGTTACAACTGATACTTTCCGGCAAAGATTCTGCAGCAGGTCTTACCTGGCGTCAGGAAGCCACCGAGCGAGGGTGTCATCACTGGCCCAATGGGCGGTATATCATCCAGATCGAGCAGCAGATCCAAATTGGTTTTGGCTGATGACTCTGGCTGAGATTCCGGCTGTTGTTTCGCTTGCTTTTGTTCAACGGATGACGTCACTGGAGCATTCTTTGGCTGTGACTGTGGCTGCTCGTTGTCGCTGGCCGAGTCGCTGCTCGATTCGCCGCTGCTGCTGCCGCTGTAGAACGACGATTCGCCGCTGTCGGAGGTGCCTGAATTGGCGATGGCATTGTTGTTGTTGTTGTTGCCCGTTGAGGGAGCGGCGGTAGCGACAGCGAGTGGCTCGATTGGATTGCTGCTGCTGCTGCTATTGTTGATGTCATCGATCAGCTGGCCGCTAACAATGGCCGCCTTTATTGCCTTGCTTTGTGCTTGGACCCGATCGGCCTTCAACTGGTCCGGCGCCCCTGGCTCCTGTTCGCTATCGCTGCCCGAGGATGCGTCGCTGCCAGAGGAGCCGCTGCTGTCGCTGCTACTGCCGCTGGAGCCGGTGTAAGCGGATGACTTCTCTGATTCGGATAGGAAGCCCTTGTCGCCCGCCTCCTTGGCAGCACCTTGGGACGAGGATTTGCTGCGCGTCGGACTCTCGCCAGGCAGCTTCTCCTGCATGTAGCCAGCTATGTTGCGCACACTCGAATCGGGCGCAACAGAGGGGAAGGCAGGCAGCTCCTTGTAGCCCGTGGCCTGCATATTCAAATAGTGAGAGAGCGAGCCCAGCTGATACAGATTGCCATCACGGTACTTGCTCTCCGGCACAGGTGCCGGCTTGGCCGCCAAGAATATATCGCGTGCATTCTGGGTAAGCACTGTGCTGCCGCCGCTGGCGGGGAAGATGAACTGGCGCAAGAAACGCGCTCGATCACGCACGTCATAGTTGGTATCATAGCGAGCCAGCGTAAAGACATATTGGCAAAGCAGCGAGGTCTGCTCTGGATTGGTCAGATAGAGTTTAACGCCCAGATTGAGCACCTGCAGCTTCACCACATCCTGCTCATCCACAAACGATTTGGCCATCTTGCGCAGCACATCAGGCGCTATCAACGGCACCTTCTCATTGTATTCCCCGATCAGCCAAATGATGGCAGCGCGAGCCGCTGCCACATTGATGTAGTCAATCAGCTTGGCCATCTGGGTGATAATCTCATAGTGCTCGGCAGCCTTGCTCTGCAGCAGCTTCTTAATGACCACCACGCTCTCGGCGACCACGTGCTCTAATTGGAGAATCGACTAGTTAGAGAAAGCATTCGAGTATATATTAGTCTATAGCTCACCATCGTGATTCGAGAGCAGATGTACCAGGCCGCTCAGACAGGTCTCGGTGACAGCTTTGATGCTCGCTGCACAACGGCCAATCGCCTGAATGGTGGCTGCCACGAAGGGGCGGTCATTGCTGGAGATGTATGTTTGGAATTCGCGCAATATGAGCGATATGCTCGAGGCTGATGCCAGATTCGTGAGTATGTCCAGCTTGAGTAGCTTGAGGTGCGTTGGATCGCTGGTGCGCACAAAGAACGACTTCAAATGTGGCTCGAAGATCGCTTTACGACGCGCCGACATGGACGCAATGCAATTGAGCACCACGCTCTGCACTTCCTTGTGCGATCGCAATAGACGGATGAGTGCCTTAGCTATTAGCTGCACCTCGTTGCGGGGCGCCACATGATGATAGAGCTGGGCGACGGCCATGACAACGGATGCGTTGCGCGACTGCAGCAGCGGCTTGGTCTGGCGCAACAGCAGCCGATGATCGAGATCGATGTGGTAGCTGTTGCTGCTGCTGTTACTGCAGTTGTTATCGTTGTCTTTGTCTTTGTCTTTCTGTTTGTCTTTGTCATTGTTGTTGTTGTTGTTGCTGCTTGACTTGCTGGACTTGGGCTTGCCAGGCGCTTCGTCATCGCTGCTGGCCTCAGCATCGCTGCTAGAATTTGAAGACTCGTCATAGAATCGCTCGTTGGCTGGCGCATCGCCATCTAGAGATTCGCCCTGGCCGTGCTCCTCGTCAGCATTGGGATCGACGAACTGTGTGCGTGCATAGCGGGTCAGCATGTTAATGATGATCACCTGACCCCATTCATCCACATCCACAAGCAGATTGCACAGCTTGCGGTAGTTCTTGTGTATAAGATCCACGCGCTCCGGACAAACCTAACAAACGAGAAGGGCTCATAAATGAGATGAAATTATTCAAACATCGTCTATAGGCTACTACCTCATCGAAGGCCATAACAGCAGAGCCCACAACCAGGGTGGTGCGATCTGAGAGTAGTTTCTCAATAACCGTGACCAGCTCATCCTTTTGGTCTGCATCCAGCGAGTAGAGCTTGGGGATAGCATGTGCCGCCGTCTTACGCACATAGGGACTGAGATCCGCGGCGCTGTCGCGGATTGCCAACATTACAATGGGCACAATCATGCTGACCCGTATGGAAGAGAGCACACGCAAGGCGGATGCGCGTATTAACTGATTGGGATCTTTCAGTGCACGCTGAAATGTCGATATGGAGAGCAGCGCCAAATCCTGCTGCTCCTCGGCATAGCGCACCAAATACACATACACCAGCTTCTTTACCTCGATGTTCTTGGAGACGACATTCTTGACGACGGCCGGAAAAAGGTCGCTGGCATCACGGCCTCGTGCAATCATGCCAATAATGCGCTTCATTGCCTCCAGCTTAAGGCCATCCTTGTTGCTGTCCAGCATCTGCTTGAGATCATCATGTTTACGGCCATCGCTTTGGAAGAATGCCGCACCACTGGCCGGATCTGCACCGAACTCCACGTCCAGCCCCATTTGGGGTCGCTCGCCATAGGCAGCCACCGAAAACGGATTGCTGGCCGAGTTCTGTTGCATCTTGCAAGGGGGTTTCCCAATTCAATTGTTGTCTAAGATATTGTTTTATTTTGTGCTGTGCGTGTTTGTTGTGTATCGTGTGTGCGTGGGCGTGCAAAAAGTGGTGAAAGCTTTTTGTCGGAAACCTGCTGATACTTTGCTACACTCGCGTTGGCAACGCACGGCGAATTCGTCTACAACAATTGCCAGTACTTTGACATATCTGTCACGCACTGGACACACTTGCACTGCAAAATTTTTGTTTCTACTCGATAAGCAACTGTCCACGAGTACAATAACACTATCGACGACAATAATCGATAGCAGACAATGTTTACTATTGCAAGTAGCATCAATGAATTTGTTAATCGAATAGCGTAGATGCGGAAATGCAATTGTGCGATGTATCGGTGATATATTTAAAAAGTATTTTACCCAATTACTTAACTCTTTAAGTATATTGTGTCAATGAACAAATATTTTAGTAAACTATGGCAATTTTATTAATAGGCCCTATATATTATGTTTCTATTTTCTATACATTTGAGATTTTTATAAAAAGTATGTCTAACTTTTTTATTTACAGCAAACACTTCATATACTTAATTCATTTCTTCGTTCAATTATATTGATAGTGCAAACAGCTTAGCTCTTGTAAAGCAGCTAGTGAGAACATATTGCTGTGGCCTGCCTGGTATATGCTTATCGATAATCGTATCGATGCAAGCCAAAGAACAACAACAACAGCCGCCGTGTGGTAGTTAAGACAGACCATACTAAACGCCAGAGCCGCAATCACGTCAATTAATGGCCAAGTAATATTGAAAACGGAGGCAGAAACAAGAACGGCAGGCGAGATGAACTTTCCGCTAGCTAATTCCAACAAAGATACGTTGCGAGCGGCATGCAAGAAGTGCGGCTACGCGGGTCACCTGACCTACCAATGCCGCAATTTTCTCAAGGTAAGCAAAAGCCGCTATGCACAAGCGAAATCGCATTATAACAAATTCCGCCTATCGCCTAGGTTGATCCCAACAAAGAGATACTGCTCGATGTGGAAAGCACCAGCTCCGACTCGGAGCTCGATTATTTGACGCCGTTAACGGAGCTGCGGGCCCAAGAGCTGAAAGCTGAGGGTGATATTGCCCCAGTTGCAGCAGCGGCAACAAAGCCAGATAAGAAAAACAGCAGTAGCAGCAGCAACAAACACATCAGCAGCAGCAAGCGCAGCAGCAGCAGTAGCAAAACAGTCGCCACGAAACACACGAAAACCGAGCGGCACAAGAAACGCAAGAGAAAGAGCAAGAAGCACAAGGAACCGAAGATCAAAGCTAGCAGTAAATCATCAGATTTGTCCAAAAAGCAAAAGAAGCAACGCAGCAGCAAAAAATCGAAGCGTCGTCGAGCTGTTAGCACAAGCAGCAGCAGCAGCAGCTCCTCCAGCACCTCATCAACCTCATCGTCTGACAGCGATTCAACGAGCGACTCATCCAGTAGCGACACGGAATCCGATTCCAGCGACAACGAAGAGTCCAGCACTAGCGAATCGGATGAGTATGGACGCAAAAAGAAGCGCCAGGGCAAATACAAACGGAAAGCTGAGGCAACAGTGCTGCGTCGCAAAAAGTCCAAATCCAAACGCAAGAGGCATCGCACCAGCATCAACGCCGGTGCCAGCGGCGGCGGCGGCGCTGGCAGTGCAGCAGGCGCCAGCAGTTACCTCAGCAGTCTCAGCGATAGCAGCACCAACTAGCACACAACGACTACCCAAAGCACTTGCAACGGCATTTAGTTGACTATCCTAGTTAAAAAGGCAAAACAAATGAAGGGAAATGAGAAATTAGAGCAACCTAGGCTAGAGTTATATAGTAACATATATTGCATGGATGAATCTATGAAGCCAATTTAGTTATCCTGCGCTTCCTCAACCAAAATCAGACTTTCCAACACCAACACACACACACACACACACACACACATGGATACATATTTAAACTTGTGTTAGTTTTAAGTTGATAATCCTATCCTGAGTCTTTTATGATTTGCAAATATAACAAATTAGTTTGTATAAAAAAATTTGTTCAATACATCATTATATATATATATATATATATATATATATATATATATATATATATATATATATATATATATATATATATATATATATATATATATATATATATATATATATATATATATCTCTTTTACTGTTACTCTGAAAGGGTGCTTTCGCTTATCTACGCAAATATGTAGATTTGTATTAGTGTAAAGATCTGTTCCCTGTCTGCGAGAATTGCATTGTGAGGCACAATTCGTGAGGAGTAACTCGTTGCAGGAATTCTGGATATCTTACTACAGCCAGATTACTTCTTGACTCAACTACAAACACCTATATTACTCAATTTGAATACGCTTAAAATAGTTTTAAAGACGGGTGACATAATTACTCACGTATAACAGTAAATACGCATAGTTGCATTTTGTAAGTCAACCATACTCAAGCCTAAGGCATCGTATTTGTGACGTCATGCGCACGCGCTACCTTCACTGACTTTGGGTAACCAGAATCCTAGTAAGATTTGTTTTGCTGATTGTACTGCCAGCCAGATTTATTTATTTAGAGCTTAAGGTTTCCATCGGAAAGTACTAACATAATATACAATTCAAATTACAGTATGTGCATAGGTCATTTAATATGCACGAAAAGTGTTTTGTGTGACGTCACACCGACTCGCTTAGGCTTGGATGCAACATTCATTCTTTTAAGGGAAACATGAGCTTTGTGAACTGAGTGCACCAGCCAAATTTATTTTTTTGTTTTGAGTGAGGCGATCGAAAATTGTCTTAAGAATTTGAGTCAATCACTTACTATGATAATTTAATGTATGTAGATAACACTTAACACTTAACACACAATACGCACGCACGCTTGTAATACATTAAATATAATACAAAGGAAATTAACAGTATGGTCAAATAGAAATGCCTAATCCCTAAATTGGCGGCGAAGCAGCCTCCGGCTGCGACTGTGCCTGTGCCTGTGTTGTCGATAGGCTGGTTGTTGGCATCATTTTGCCATTTGTCGCATATCTGAGCAGAGCGCTTTGCAGTGTGGACAGACCACGCTCCAGACCCGAAATCTTTGCCAAGTACTTTTCGCAGTTCTCGCATTCGCTGACAGTGAATGTTGAATTGTCAATGGGGGTGGCGACTGTGGCTGAGCAGTTGCCTTGCTTGGACATGGCCGCGATGAGCTCTGTATTCTGCTGCTTGAGTTCATTGTTCTGGGCCAGCAGCTCCTCGCAGAGGGCGCAAGTGGAGGCGCGCAGATCGGCGAGTGCCTGCTCTTTAGCTCGCAGGCTCTTCATAAGCGAACGATTCTCCTTTTTGAAATCCAGCAGCTTCTGCTCCAGCTCAAGCAGCTCATCCTCATTATCCGTGGTGCCGCGTGTCGTGTCTAGACTGTCGGTAATCTGTTGCATGCCATTGTTATTGGCCAGCCGGCTCATCGCCTGCAGAATGTTGTCCATTTTTCTGGAATCTGGATGCTCGATCGCGAGGGACATCGAATCGCCGCTGCTCTCATTCCCTTGCAAATTACTGTTGCTGGTCAGTCGGCACATGGCCTGCAATAGGGTGTCCATTTTCCTGTCCATGGCATGGCCTTTGGCCCGTTGCTCGTCCAGATATACCTCCAGTTTGCTAGTGGGCGACATTGCATATACGTTTTGTTCTGGCTTTGCGGCCAGCGATACTATATTGTTGCTCGCTGCCAACGGCTTTAGCAATTTCTTAACGGAGCGTGCCCGGTGAGTGGTAATGCTGTCCTCTGTGGACTGTGGCGATTCACTTTCGCTGTCGTAGTTATCCCGCACTGGTTCTGGATTAGCAGGTGGGCTCAACGATTCTAAGATTGAATGTCGGAACGACGGTTGCGGCAATGTACTTGATGTGGGTGGAGATCCGTTGCTTGATTTGCCGGCCTGATCGTTGCGCATTTCCTCAATGGGCAGGCCAAGCTTGATTAGTGCATCCGTGAACTCCTCCTCATCCTTGGCAACCTCAAAGCGCAGACTCCAGAAACGCTGCTCATCGTCGTAGAACTGCATATACGATTCACGTAGTATCACATTGGTCGGCCCAACACGCGGCGATGATGACTGCGTCGATTTGGTCAGCAGCAGCGTGCTTAGCAGCTGTGTTCGGCTCTTGTACACGACTAGCTTGGCAGCGCCGGCTCCATTGCGTGAGAGCGCAACACCCACACGTCCCACATTGTCGCTGCCATTGAATCCATAGGCCACCTTAGCCACTACCGTGTTCCAACTTTCAATAGTCATTAAGTCTTGCTTGTTGCGCGGCATAGTCGAAATCATTGATTTGAGCTTTTGTTGTTGTTGTTGCTGCGGTGGCTGTGTTTGTTGTTGTTTTTGCTGTTGCTGCTTGCTGGACGACTGTGGTTGATAGCGCAAATTGCTCGATTCGCTTTGCAGGGGTTTGTCATCGTCCTCAAAGATCTGGCGCAAATTACGTGGGCCATCAGTGCTGAAACGGACAGAGATGAGGCCTTTCTGTATACATCCCCCACAACACTCACCTGTGCAGTTTCTCAAAAAAGTCCTGATTGTTGTCGCGTCCAAAATCCATTAGAATTTTACTGCTATCGAGCTGTGCTTTATAACAAATGAAATTAATGCTTAAAAATGTTTAGATTCGATTCAAAGGCCAGATTTCCACAGGAGCGCCTACTATCTTAAGACCAAAGTTGCCAGACATTCGCATTTTGTGCCAAACTAAAAATGCTCTTCTTAATCTTAATCATAATCTTAATCTCTTAAAAATACAATACAATATTAATGAATAATATGTTTAAGCTCTTTTTAATTTTTTTCTACTTTCAATTTGACGCAATTCAAGTTTTTATCAAATACCACTTATGACGCAGCTTTTTCTTTGGTATTTTTTCTGTATTTTTAGTTGGAATTAACCGTGTGGTCATTTTTAGCAGCAAATTTGAAAAGGAACTTAGCCGTGAGTTGCTAACGGTTATTCTGACTATATACTGATCCCGATACAAACTATGGAAAATATTAAAAAACGCAGATAGGACTAAAATCAGGGTATTTCCTAGTCGGGTACCCCTAGAGCTTTCTTACTTGTTTTATTTGTAATAATAATGCACACGTTTTTAGTAAATTGTAGCTGTATAAAAGTAAATTCAAGAATATATGTACGTATATCAAATATCATAAATGTCAGTATTGCAATGGCACTCTAGAAACTTTAGTTGCGCTTTCTTTAAAACTATTTGGTAACTATTATTTAACTGAGTTCCATTCCCCACAGCTCGTACAATTGTGTTCTTATATATATATTTTTGATTTGATTTGCTTTGGCGTTGAGATGTCATATAAACTTATATGAATTATTATGAAGGAATGTAGTTCTTTGCTAATTTGGAATAATTCTTATTTATGCTAAGATCATTTGATCATTCCTGTATACATAGGACCCCCCACCGATTGTAAATAGAAAAATGATATCTGTTTATGTCGATTAACCTGATCACTAGATATCTCATTTTGGCATCCCGTTGCGCTTTGGAGCTGGCAGTGGTGGGAAGTGTTCCTTATAGAGCTTGGCATCTTCTGAGACTGGCGCCGTCATCTGACCCATCTGGCTCGATGTTGTTGATGTTTCGTTCTCGCGCTGTTGGCCAACAAAAAATTCCAATTAATTCCAATTATATATATATATATATATATATATATATATATATATATATATATATATATATATATTTATATATATATATATATATATACACATACAAATATATATATATATATAATATATAATATATAATCGAACTACCTCAATCTTGTTCGGCAAGTGCTCCCGTTGGCCATTCACCTGCCTTTGATACAGGCGAAAAGGGGAGCGCGCTTGAGGCAGTAAAATGGGATTTTTGCTGAGGGCAAGTAACTGGGGGGCGTTTAGTTGCTCATGTATCATCGTACTCATGCCAGCACAAGACTGTTTGTACTTGTTGTTGTTGTTGTTATTGTTGTTGCAGCGTGGCACAGTGCCTGTCTTGACCTCAAAGCCAATAGGCTTCAATGCCTTCTGTTGCAACACATCGTTGCTGAACAAACTCAGATCGTTGTCCATGAGTTCGGTTTGGCTAAAGCTGACACTACCCGTATCCAAATGGCCAAAATTGCTGAGTTGCTCTGAGTCGCTGGCATACAGGATTTTGAGTCGGTTGGAGATCCAACTCGCGGGCATAGTACACTGCGGTTGTTGTGTTGCTGCTGGTGGTGGTGCCGGCGTTGTTGGTGGTGACGGTGATGACGGTGGTGTTGGCGTCATTACACAAGCGCATGCAGGTGCAGAGGCATGCACCGTCTGTATATAAGGAATTTTCCTGCATACATACATGAATTTTTATATGAATATGAATATGTATACATATATATATATACACACACACACACACATAGATGGCAAGTAAAGTGGAGCAATTCAACGAGGCGACACTGAACATACACATTGATCCCGGAATTGGAGCCGTCGATCAATCGTAATTATGGCAATACGAATTTTTATCTTTCACAGAGTCTTTATGGCCATGGATGTTTCGCACCTGAAGCGGTTTGGCCATGAGAACACTGCCGAGTGCTCCTTATGCGGAAGATGCCAACCGCATAATATTTGAATGTGGACGGTTTCTGGAAAAGAGGCTGCCTCTTTAGGAAGCACTAGACCGATTCATCTGGTGTCTGAGCCTGAAACCTAATTAGCTCCTTCGCAACAACAATAATGTTGGAACTGTTCTGGGAAGCAATGTTTGACGACCGTATCACAAGCAGCATGATCTACTTCTTAAACAAAAATTTAAGCTTTGTTCTTAAGTGCAAAATAAATTAATAAAAATAAAAAACAATAAGAAAGCTCTAGCCGGGGTGCCCGACTAGGAGATACCCTGATCCCAGTCCTTTTTTTTCTTATTAATTTTTTTTAATTGTTGAATTATGTATGTAAAATTTGCTTAACTATAATTATGTCACCGAAAACCGGCAATCTGGGACCACTCCTTCGAGATGTAAATGCACGCGGTTCAAAGCACTCAATTTCAGCAGCAATCAAACGATCGCAAGGACAATCGATATCAAATTGTACTGTAAAGCTTGATGCAGCAGTTTCGTCTCGAATGTCAAAATAAAATACTTATCACAATATACGTATATCGATAACACATGGTGTTGCCAGAGATTCTAAAGCCAACAGCTGTGTTGTCGCAGTAAATTAAGCGCGAATTTGTTACGAATTTTAAAGAATTGCCATTTACGCCGGCCAGCCACACTGAATTGCATTTAGTGTACTGCACTGCACTGTACTGTGTGCAAAATGTCCGAAGATCCTGACTATCTATTTGCACTTCAGCTGCAGGAGCAACTCAATCGAGACATAGCTAGCAGCAAGGACGCAGACCGTGTAAGCAACAACGCAGTTTTAACCATGCAAAACACAAAACACAATAGCTCAAAATTTCCTACTTTACGGCTAGGCAAAGATTGAGGGGAAGTCAGGCCAAGACGACATTGATTACCAGTTGGCTATGAAGCTGCAGGCCGAAATAAATGGAGCGGATGCAGACGTCAGCGGCGATGAGAGCTTTGACAATGACGGCGCCAGTGTCTATGCTCTCGACATGAGCAGCAGCAAGAACAACAACAACAGCAACAACAATAAAAATCTAGCCAAGAAGCCCCCACCAAGTGTAAATATAACACATATCAGATCGTATTTCAATGATGCTTATTTATACAAAACCTTTTTATATATGCAGCGCAAGAAAAGTATGGATTTAATGAAGGCGCCCATGTCTCCGCCAGTCGGCTATAATAACTATTTGGATCAGACGCAGAATCTGGTGCATCCGGAATGGGAGCTAGTTGATCCAACGCCCGATATATTTGCCATGTTTGTCCGCTTTGACCAGAAGTTCTTTCAGAAGCGTCTGGGCGCCGTTGTCGTTGAGTGGAGCAAGCGCATGTATTCCTGTGCTGGCATTTGCTATCAGCGTGGTAATCGATTCGTTAAAGAGGTAATCATACGACTCAGCGAGCCGCTGCTAAAGTTGCGACCACGCAAGGACTTGGTCGAGACACTGCTGGTGAGTGAACAAGCCGCCCTCATACATTAATAAATGAATCTGAAGCTGTTCCATTTGTTTTGGCAGCACGAAATGATTCATGCCTATTGCTTTGTGCTGAATATACGCGAAGGTAATGGCGGACATGGACCGAACTTCAAGCGAATCATGGGCACCATTAATAAAGTCGCTGGTACCAATATAACTGTCTATCATAGCTTTCACGATGAGGTGGACGCCTATAAGACGCACATCTGGCGCTGCAACGGCGTCTGCCAATATCACAATCCCTTTCAGGGCTGGGTTAAGCGCACCGCGAACCGGCCGCCTGGTCCCAGCGATCAATGGTGGGCCAAGCATCAGCGCGATTGCGGCGGCACCTTCGAAAAGGTCAGCGAGCCAGCCAAACCCGCTGGCAAACCAATGCCAAAGCCCAAAGGCCCGAAGTATACAACTAAATTTAAGAATGAGACAACCACTTCCGGTGATGATATACGCAATTATTTTGGGAAGCCAAGACCGTCGGTGAATCTGTTGCCGCAAGTGCAGCCAGCTCTCGGTCTGCCGGGCGCTTTCCCGCCCACCTCATATCCGGGCTTATCGAGTAACCCGTTGGCTGGCCTGAAGCCAAGAAATGGCAACAAGAACCTTGGTAATGTCGTCGGCCTCAAAGATCTGGTCGACCTGAGCAGCGGCGACGAGGACAGCAAGCGCGACGTCAAAAATAAAGCACTGATCCACCCCGCAATGCAGGGCCAGGGCTATAGCATGACCAACAGCAAGGCCAACGACAGTTCCAGCTGCAGCCCTGCGCAGCAATCAGATAATGTTAATCGTAATCATCTTCGTGAGGTGTGGTCGAAGCGTTTTGCAAACGATAATCGGAAAACCACGGAACCGCAAATCAAGCAAGAGAATTCAAGCAAACGTCGTCGGGTTTCCGACAATATGGTTAGTTGGGAGTCGTACGATAATGATGTTATGGTACGCGATATGCTCGAGCCTGTCATAAGCATTTCAGACAGCGACGACGAAATAGAGCCGGAGGTCAAGTTGCCTACACCTAACGTTCCCAAGAAGGCGCCACAATTGTCCAGTCACGAGCGCACAATCAACATCAAACGCGAGGTGATGGAGGATGAGACGATGTACGGTGACGATGAAATTTTCATGATTGATGATGAATACGATGACAGTGTGAACGAGCTGAGTGCAGCCGCTGAGCTGGCTGATCAGTCCATCATCGACGATCTATTCGGCGAGGATACGCTGCTACAGGAGTTCCAGCGCGAGAATGATGTAGTGCCCTGCAGTTCGCGCTACCAATACGATGCGGGCAATGACATAACCAGCTGTCCCATTTGCTTTGAGAAAATGAAACGCTCCGAGTTCTCTAACCACCTTGATGGCTGCAGCATCACCATCAGGGTGGCGCCGCCAACCATTAGATCGAGCGCGCAGCTGCCCGGCGACAGCAACAGCATCAACAAACCCAAATGGAAGCCAAAAGCAAACAAACGCAAAGCCGCCACATCAAAGCGTCACATTTTAAAGAGCTCCGGCTACTCGAGTTCCGATATAGCTGCATTAGATCTCAGCTCATCCAGTTCGTCCAGTGACTCGGCCAAGACCAGTGAAAGTGATGCCACCCCACGTCAGGTGCGACAACGCACGCTCTTCAAGCAGACTACAGAGTGTCCCAAGTGCGGCCAGGAGCTGCTTGGACATCAAATGGAAGCGCATCGCAAGATCTGCAAGCGTTCCAAATAGTTTAGCTATAACTCATCCTATTGCTATCATACAATTTATAGTTAGGCCTTTAGAAATTTTGGGTGCGTATGCGCCCATTGAAATAACTTTGTTTTCGCCACCTTCTTTTGCCAATCTTAAATTATATTTTTTTTTATACATGAAACTAGTTTATGCTGGTAAATTAAGTTTATATTTATAATATATGTATGTTGCGAATAGTAAACTGTGAACATATTTTATTTCCTGTTTATTGTCCTAAAAAATTCATTGGCTGCAATTTCTATGAAATTCGAAAATGAAATAGAAATGAAATAGGAGTGATATATATACTTGTTTCTGTTGAATTAGGTCCAAGCTCTGTATACCCTGAACCCATTGAAAAGAACTCAGGGCACATTACGAAGGCGCCACACACCAGCTAAATGTCATCAAATGGAGTGAGACAGCATACAATAGGTAGAGAGAGAGAAAGAGGTGGAACCGATAGCGTCTTTCTGAACGAAGCGTAGAATGATTGGAATAACAGCTCTCCTCGTCGAGCACTCCTGGCCAGATAGCCCTTGCATTGTTCTTTTTATGATTGTTAAGTGAAAAATAAATGTATGTAAATTAATAGCTTTTAAAGTCAATAGAGTTTTATTTTGTGATTTGATTTGCTTTGCTTTCGTTTTCTTATAAAATTCTTCCAAAATAACGCAAGTTCGGCTTGTGGCCGTAGCGCGTTGCTAACGCTGGCCAGTGGACAACGAACATGTCCACTAGAGGCAATAGAAGCCGACCGCTTAGCGAGAGCGTCTCGACCCGGCAATAGCTTTCCACAAACACGATCTTGCTGTGGCCGGGCAGACGGCCAAGCAAGCGCCATAGATAAGCCGCATAGCAATAAGGTACACAGGTGCCGGGCCCATTGCAGAGCACGAGCTGGGGACGATCGCGCCAAATGAGCCAGCAGCTCCAGAGCAATGCCCACAATGTTGTAAATATGCTGGTCAGCCAACTTTGGCCAACGCTACGGCTGCGCGGCACACGTATAAAGTCGCTGTCCTTTAAAGCGGGCAGAGCGGAGCGCATTTTCTTCTGCGAAGTCTCGTCGCTGTTAGCCACAATGTAACGTATATTTTGGTATTGCTTAAGCTCATCATGTTGCATTAGTGCCTGATTGATTTTACACATCTCGGCTGTGTGGCCGCCGGAGCCAAGGATTACATAGATGGGCTCTGCAGGTTTCTTATTTGAGCACATTTTTCATTGACAAAAGTAAACAATGTTTCGGAATTTTAATTTGTTTACGTTTTTTCGATAACAAATATGTGGCCACCCCAATTCATTACTATGGTCACTCGATTAAAATGGGTTTCGCAGTTTTGCGCTTTGCTACTCACAATGCGCAAATAAACAATTTAAAAAAATTCCAAAAAAAAACATTTGTTCGAACTTCTTGGTTTTGAATCTGATGTGAACGGATTTCGGACAACAAAGTACTAGCTTCGACAGCACCAGGACGTAAAGAATGTCTGAAGATCCACGAAACGCGGCTGTTTATCAGAATTTGGAAAAGCTAATCAAATGTTTAATTGGAAAGGACGTAAGCCAAATAGCGTATAAATAAATTAATTTCAACTAGTTAAGCAAGGCTTTGGCCCTTTGTTGCAGTTGACTGATGCTGAGCTCAGTTCGCTAGTACAATATGCAGTGCAGAAGGTACGCAATCATCGCTACATGAGCACCAACAGCTTTGAAGTGAGTCGCTCCGTCGACAATTTGGTCGACCGCTTTTACTATGAGGGCATGATGAATCAGGCGAACGCTATGCGTTTCTTAAGCTCATTGATAATGAACCATGGGCTATGGAAGGAACACTACGAGGTGGATGTACAATATTCTCTAGTCGATTTCTTTATACACATGACACACGAGCCGATTCAGACACATCGACGCAACAGGTTATTGATGGAAGATCGCCTGATGGCCATAAGAGATGCAATCAAAGCAGCTCCCGATTTCAATGAACCCAAAGACTTGGCCGAGCCCAATCTTGCCGAAACGGAAATCGATTGGGTGGCATTCCTAAGTCAAGACTTCATTGCGCCTCCCTACGAACGCTACGGTAGTGATAGCAGCTTAAGCGTATGTCTTCTCCTTATTTATTAAGCTTTCAAATCGTAATGTTATGTATTGTCGCCTTTAAGGATTGGAGCGATGACACCAGCAGTGAGCTGAGCTCACAGTACGAGGCTGAGATCGATTGCAAGACGAGTCTCGATCAGAAGGAAATGGCGAAGGTATACGCGAGCTGCCGTGATTATCCCATTGGCACGAATACCTTTGTACCAGAGCCCAAGCGACCAGCTGGGCGGAAAAAAAAGATGTTCAGCATTACACAGCCGATGTGCATGTCCTTCAGTGGCATACAGACGCGACCCAATTGGTGTACGCTGCCCACGCTGGAGACGCTGCAGCCACCGCGGTCGCACAGGACGTTTAGCACTTTCGTCTTCGATCCCAATCATTTGGCTAAGACGATCCATTCGCATTGGTGGCGAGACGACATCAAGATCCATACGCTGACGCCCACCAAAAATCCGTGCGCCAACTTTGCCATTGCTCACGTACAGCATCTGAATAGGCATGCGCGCGGCCTGCTCAAGCATTCGCTGCCCAAAACGGTCAACGAGACTTGCCTGCTCCGCGAGATCATCTTCATGTTCTTCGAGCCCGTGGATTGTTGCTTTTTTAAGGTGCAGCCGGATCTGTTGCAAATTAGCGTGCGTTCAAATGTGTCCATCAGCAGCGTTAGCCATGTGAGTGGGATTAGCTTAAACTGTGACGTTACTGATTTATTTACCGTTTCCCGCAGAGCACACTCAAGATCACGCTGGAGGAGGAGGTGCTGCCGGCCTTGCAAGCCATGTACCAGCTGCGTCAATTGATCAAGGATCTGTTACGGCCCACTGACGGCATGACGAGTACTGGCACCTTGGAGTGTTTCGCTGTTGGCTTGCGTGATCTCATGCACCCGATCGTGCAACGTCTGTTAGCCTGTGAGCGACAGTTGCTGGATAAGGCTGCCGGCAAAACGGAGTCGGACCTAACGCTGATCGCCTTTGTGCTGCATATGCGCGAGCAATTCAAGCAGCTCCAGCAGCTTCAGTTGCTAGCCTCTGATGCCATTATTGAGGCGCCGCCCCACCTGAAAAGCGCCTATCTGCTGACACAGCTCTTCAAGCACACACGGGTGCATGTGCCACATCAGAAGATGGTCACCGCGCTGCTGTTGATGACGCTGAAGCGCTTTTGCGACATAAGCGATAATTGGTGGCGGTATGCCGAGCTGAATGACAGCCGGCTGGAGTACATTGTGGAATACAGCGCGGACGCGAGCGTGATCGGCGGGCAGGGCATACGTGAGCGTTGCCTGGCTGCCGATGCGACGCCTGCGCATGAAGCGATTCTGGCGGAGCTGCAGGGCTGTGCATTCTATAAGCTGCTCATTACGTATGCTCTGGAGTCGGGTGAGACGCAGGATCTGCTGGCCAGCATCAATTTGTTGGGCGATTTGGTGAACACCAGCCAGCAGTTGAGACCGCTGCATAAGGACCTGATCAGACACTTCTTTGACGAGCTGAAAAGCTTTGATAGCTGCGTTCAGCCAGAGAGCCGACCGCGCAGCAGCGTTTTGGGCGTGGTGCGCCAGGAGCTGCGCCAGTTCGACGAACAGCTTCTAAAGCACACAACACAAATAGGTAATCCCCAGCTAATGGACATATTCACTCAACACATACGGCGCGACCAGGCGCAGCGAAACCAAATGGAAGAGCAGTCGCCGTCGCTGCAAGTGCTCGACATTTTAGAGGCATTGGATAAATGCACCAAACTGCAGCTGCCACAATTGATGCCCCGTGCTCTGGGCAAGGTTCTGCGTCAGCGCTGCGATCTGGCTAATGTCTATGTGATGCGTTGGTATCGGGACGAGCTGCTCATCGCCGATCACGTGCGCTTCCTGCGCCACGTACTAATGTTCGAGGCGGACTATCTAATTTATCCCTTCTACACCAATCTCTTCCGCCAAATTGAGGCCGGTATGAACTGGGCATCGTCATCGGACTTAACCACAGAGCTGTACGACATTCTGGATGTTCACTATCCGAACATGGCGTGTGAGCTGTACGTGGAGATCATTTCACGTTCGCGTTCGCAATCGATAAAGGTGTACGAAGCACTGAATGCAGTTGGTATGGTGTATATGATGCCACCGGCTCTATCCCGGATCATTACGATGAAGCATATGATATCCTATAATAACATTTGGCGCCTCATGCTGAAGGTCAAGTGGGCCGCTTGGAAGCTGGAGAACATGCACTTTATAAGGCGAAAAGACACGGACTTGTACGGCCCGCTCGATCTACTTGGATTGACGGTGCGACGATTGGAAATTTTACGCTTCTGGCTAATCAATATGGTCAACAGCCTGCACACACATCTCTGCACCCATGTCTTGCAGGCGATTGGCAGTCAGTTCGAAGATGAGCTGCAGAAGATATTAACTATACGTGAGCTGGCGAAACTGCATCAGGAGTATCTGATGTGCCTGTCCAAGCACTGTCTGCTAACCGAGGAGTTTGAGGAGTTTCACAGCGCTCTGGAGCAGATCTTCCATTTGATCTTTGTGCTGGATATGGAGTGGAATAGCTGCGGCAACTATCTAAATGTATCCCATGCGCTCAGCCTCGACATTAGCTCCGATAATACGCTCAGTCTGGATGAGCAAGATAGCATTTTCAGTGCCGAGGAGTCCAACAAGGCCATGGAGTACCTGGCCCTCAATCAAGTCGGCGAGATAGAGGGCACCTATATACGTTGCCATCAGATGATGGCCAGCATCTTGACTTCCCTCGTCTACAAACAGGACCAAAAGTTTTGTAAGTCACATTTCAATGCACAGACTAATCAAGCTCTCTCCCTCTCACACTATCTCGTTCTCTATCCTATTCCTCTCTATTCGTAGTAAACTCCTTGGAGGTGGCCATCAGCTCGAGTTTGCCGTGTTAAGCGAATCTCAATCAAACATTGAAATCGAAATAAAACTAAGCAATTGTAAAATATATAATTGAGCTTAATGACTCGTATGATAGAAGTGTATTTATATTATTATGCATGAGCCATTTGAATGCTATTAATTTTTAGCAAATTACAATTTTTCATTCGTTATCGATGGAGAGCAGAGCTTTTCTATCTCTGTCACTCTCCCTCTACCTCTTTCTTTTTCGCTCTGTCCTTCTCTCTCCTTCGATCTCATGATAATGTCTGGCAACGTTGCACTTGCACCGTTACTAAACTATTCGTTGAGCAGTGCTGCCCATCACTGAATCATTTGGCAGCACTTGGCTAAGCATTTGTTTTGAATTACAAATTTACTGAGCTCAGGTCGAGTTGTTGGCCTGGCAACCGAGGCCGGAACTAGCAAAGTCGATAAAATGCCAAGCGGCATTTGTGAGTTTTGGCACCTGAAGATGGAAGTGGACGCAGAGATTACAAGCAGTAGCAGCTATTATAATTATGGTCAGCCATGTAAGTATGGAGAGTAGAGCTCAAATCGAAATTGATGAAAGGTTGTGTATCTTTCAGTAATACCGCAAAAGTCGAATTTAATATTGCAAATGTTGCTGCAAGCAAATGCCTGTGTCTCAATACTCTGGAGCTTCAGCTATTTGCTGCACCTGTTCATTTGGGTGAGGGGAAGAGAATGGGAACTGGGAATTGTGCATTTAATTAATTGTGGTGCTTGCAGTCGACTGTGCTATGGAACTATACCGGCCTGGCCATGCTGCTGGCCTATGTGCTGGCCGTTGGCACCGAGTCGCTGCGTCTCTATGCCAGCTACTCCATCAATCTAACCACAAACGCGACGACCATGTGGTTGCTTCTAACACTGACGCCCTGCGTGCTGTTGCCTGCCTTGGTCTACTTGCGGCTGGCTGTCATGTTTGCCAGCGTCTGGTTGCACTTCCTATCGCATGCCCAATTTGTGCTCATCGCATTGGAGGCGCTGTCAGCGCTCATCTATCACGTGTGCTGCCTGGCCAGAGACAAGAGGAAGTCGCTCAAATCAAATGGGCAGCTATAAAGTTTATGTGGCATAGCATTAAATGTGTTTGTGTATTCCTAAATATGTAACATTGTATATTCTAGTAGATCTTAAGCTATAGCTAAAGCAAATGGCAAATCACACTTTGCTCGCATCATCCAAATTGTGCGCCTTGAGCAGCGCGTCAATCCGATCCAGATGCGTTCGCATGGTAGGCAAATAATTGGTCAACACCTCAATGTTCTCCAGCTGTGCTGGTCCCTGGCCAAGAAGCTGGCTACGCGTGGGCACCCAGCTGTAGATGATCTGCCAAAGTAGTCGAGTATTTAGCTAGGATCGAGCGACGTATTGACCGGACTCACCTTAATGGTGCTCTGCACAATGAAGCCATGGTAGGGCTTTAGGGTTTTCTCATAGGCATCCTGCAGATGTGGCTTGAGCGCCTCCTTGCGCTGTGCGTCGTTGTAGATGTTCTCGAAGAAGGTGCAGATCAGCTGAAGGCCACGTTTCAGCCAGAGCAACGCAGTCGACGCGTAGTCGTCGACATTCACATTCAACACAATCATATCTTCTAGATAATTATACTTGAGAACGTCCGTGCCATAGACTTTGGTTAGTTTCTATCAAATCGGAGCATAATCAAGATATTAGATCATACGTACGCATGTACATACTTTGGCTTGCGCGGACTTACATTTATATTCCCATTCATATCTTTGATAACGGGCGTAAAGAGTTTGCCAAAGGTCTCTGTGGGGGTATTTAGATAAACAGTTATTTGAATGATCGATCGATTAAATCGATCCAACTTACCAATGACAGTTACAATTTCCTTGGACGCATTCAAAAACGCTTGCGTCTCGATCTTGTCCTGCTCTGTTGCGGGAAAGCCCTTGAGCCCTTTGAACTGTATGCGAGCATCGGCCATAGCTGTATGTGTTTATATATATTCGATTCGAGTTACAACTACTGCTGCTACCTGCTGCTGCTACTGCTGCTCCAGCTGAGGTCTGAAATGTGAATGAGCAGCCAAGTCATTAGCAAACGCAATCATTTAGTCGTGTCTTCTGCAATAGTTTTTTTTTTGTTTTTTATAAATGCTCATATTGAACATCAAAAATATGGCTCCATATGTATTTATATATACTTGTATATATCTGCACATGTGCGTTTGTATGCATACACCTTCCGTTATATTTGTTTTATCTTATCAGTGCTAAATATTGTTATTTTTTGATTTTGATTTTGTTTTCGTTTTCTCTTACTTTTTTTGTGTCTATCTGAATAATTTTTCATTATCGAATGGCGAACTTAATCAGCAGAAATTAAAATAATGTGGAAAAGTCGCTGAGAAATACCAGTTTTTGCCTTCTTTTTTTTTATTATATCAGCTATCAACGAAGCACAGTGGTTCGCGTGTAATCGAAACGCGATGAAACGAAATTTAAGTATTTTGAGTCAGTGACACATACATTTAAATTAATCAGTGATTCATTGTTGAGCTCATTCAAATAAGTCATTTAGTTTAATCAGATTAGTTTTAAACGATTAAAATTGCTTCATTGAGTCATTATCAACAGCTGCAGAGTTGCATTGAACTAGTCAATAGAGCAACAGATTGATACGGCTTTCCTTGAATAACTATACAAATCTTGCATAATAAATGCATTTTCTTATAGTTTGTTAACAATTTGTTTGCTTTGTATTAATCGAGCGCAGTTTGGCAGTGTTTGACCCACTGTGCCGCACTGCTGACACCGCAGCAGCGTTAACCCATTTGACTTAGGCAACAATCGACGCGAGAGTCTTAAAGCTCACTCGCACACTCTCTTTCGCTCTCGCTCTCTCTCCCGCTCTCTGCCAACTAAACCTGTCTCAAGCTGATGTGCAGCTCTCTTCACTTACAATTTAAGCTCGCTCGACGTGTCTACAGCGAACCACTCGCAGCTTTTGTGCGTGCGTGAGTCAATAGCTCGTCGCAATGAATCATCAACGTGCGTGTAATTCCCGTTATATGGCCCAGATAGCTATGTCCCTGCATGAATCACGTTACAATTCAACCCAAATTATTATTGGGGCAGGACAGTGTCAGACTTTGCCTTTTGCGACCCATTGGATATCTACATTATTGTTTTTATCAGATTACTTGTCTATCAAATAATCATTCCAATACTCGTTCACGTAGGACCAACTGCATATTGGTTGCGTTCATGGAATTAGTGAGCTAGAACCAATTGAAAACGAAAATAAAAAGCTGAGCAGCTTTTTGTTTAGAGTAGAATGCAGAGAAGAGACTTGCGAAAAACCCGTTATGTTTGTTTTCGATGATGCCTTGAAAAACGTCCGTTCATAGAAATAGTAGAGCTGGATTTGAGGCGTTGAAAAACATAAATTACAATAAATAAAAAGAAGCCGTTACACAATAAATGTAATTAATTATGTTGTGAATATATTCGGAATGTTTAGCCTGTTTAAGATTCCACTGTGGTTTGGTTAATCGGACAATTTAACTGCTAAAATAATGAAGCTTAAGAAGTCAACTGCTGTTGGTATCTTCTAGATCGGATTGCTTCAGATGCTAAACAACAGTTTTGGCAGCTATGAAGCTGGAATTATCAAACTCTGCAAGTGAATCCCTGTTGATAATAGTCTAGAGATAAGCTATCTATATATCTGCATATATTTCGATGTACATATATCTATGTATCAAAAACTTACCTGATTTTAAAAAATATATATTAATGTTTAGTTTAGCTGATTCTCTATTGGAGTGCTCTAGGAGCTAGTTGTGCTGCTGATTCCTTTGGCTTTACTGCTGACTCTACTCTAGATTCCTCTTCAGAAACCTCTTCGATCTCCTCTTCTGACTTCTCTGCTGACTATTCTCCCAGCTGCTGTTCAAACTCCTCCTTCGACTCCTCTCCTGGCTCTACGCTTGGTTACTCTGCTTACTTCTCACTGCTCCCCGTCTGGTTACTGTGCTGGCTCGGCTTCTACTCCTGCTGGCGTCTCGTCAAAGGCCAGACGCTTGGTATCCCCCTCAATAGTCAGCACAAAGACGTAGTGCGTCCTCTGTGTAGCCAAGAGATGCCAGAGCGAGTCAGGCAGCTGAAAGCGATAAGTGGCAGACTCCGGCTTGAACTCCTCGTAGTGTGCGGCCAGGCTGTTGCGATTGCAGCGCAGCTCGATAAGGCGCAGCGGCACACTGGACACTATCTCCTTGTTAGCTGGCAGCAGCTGGATCTCCGGTGCCGCCGAGGTGTTCGCTTGCAGATCAGGCTGCAGCCAACGATGCTGGGCAAGAATGAGGGCACAATTGTGGGCAAAGTAGAAGCTATCGTTGCGACGCTGGGTGTGATAATTATCCAGGAATTTGCTGCTCGCCGGCTGCTTAATCTTTAGCTGGGTGAAGCGTGGACGAGGCGGCGATATGGTTGCCTCAGCTGCTGGTGTGGACACCATACGCTGAGGCAAGTGCTCTGTGGGCTGATCAACGGTTAGCACGCGGTTTAGGTAATCAAAGCCGTGGCCCATGACACCCTCAAGGGTGTGACCCAGATCGAAGCAGTGGCCCAGCTCATGACAGACAGCGCCCAGGGTGCTGGCATAGACGCCGCCGTAGGTGCGCCGATAGTTGCTCTCGTCGGGCAAACGGGTCACATCCACGCGCTCAGTGCTCCGTATGCAGTCGCCAATGTCCGCAAAGCGTTGCGGCCACGCATAGAAATGGCCGCTGCCAAAGAGCGCCAATCCGCCGCCACCCAAAGCGGCGTGGGCGTGCAAATGCCGCCGGATGTTCGTGTACGAGTAATCCCCGCTAGCTGCAACTGCGGCGCCGTTGTACCACGTGCAGCCCACAAAGGCAACGAATTTCAGCTGGAGCTGTTGTCCCCAGGCGGAAGAGGCGAGTATCTCGCTGGCGAATCTCTGCCAGAGCTCGTCCTCGCTGCACTTGCGTGCCTCCTGGCAGCTCAGCTGCGAGCGAAACACGCAACAGGCGCCGTTTAAAGTAAATGTGCGATTTCTATAGCCGGCGGCGCTCAATTTATGCGCATAGATGCACTGCACCAGGCGCAAATTTAGATCAATTAAAGCACAGCGCTGCTTCGCCTCCTGCTCGTGGTCGTCCTTCTCTTTCTCGTTGTTTTGGCACACCAAATATAGCGGCTGCACTCGATATGCGCTCCTCCTTGGCTGATAGCTGAACTGCAGTTGACGCTGCCCGCTGCAGCAGCGCAGCTGAAGCTCACAATTCACAGCCGGCTCCGATTCCGAGCTCGATTCCGATTTCGAATCCTCTTTTGACAAATCGAAGAGCAGTTTAAATTCGCTTGCAGCGGACAGTTGTGTCAGCTGTTCCTGCTCGGTTTTACGCAGTGTGAGCGTCGCCTTTAGCTGCTGGGCGCTGGCACAGATCGGCTGCAGGCGTCCCTTAATTAGCAGCAGACTGTGCTCCACCTTATCCGTTTCCTTAAGGAGCTCAACTTCAATTTGATGGACACGCTTGCAGACGTTGACGCAGCTGGTCATTGCTCCCAGCCGGCGTACGTCACAGCCCACACACATGTACACACATACACATATGTTAACTTGCACTTGCAAACAGCTGACAGTTGCAAGTCACAGCTGTCTGACTTAGAGTTGAGCTACGGGGCGTGACACGCGCTGCACGCAGTGCCAAATGCATATTATATGAACTAAAACTTATTTAGCTTTAAAAGTTGGATTTCATTAATTAATTGGTATTTTCTTTACAATTTTAAACATATATGTTTCTCTAATCTAAAGTAAATTAAATTTAGTATTAAAATTATAAACATAAATTATATTTGGCTCGCTAGCCGAACCGCAAGACAGAGAGCGCCTAAAATAATCGATAGGTCGCAGTTTGAATCACAGTACATAAACTTCTTATCGATGTTTTGCTGAAATAGAAGCTGAAACTGCGTGGATGTTCGCTAAGTAAGGCTTTTACTGTAAAATAAATTATAAATATTTGTTCAATTTAGACTATTAAGTTGCAAACAGTTTTACAAAGAGAATGAACGTCAATTAACATATTTTACACGCATATCGTAAAAGAAAATTCACATTTGACAGTTGTTGAGCAGACAACAACGAAATCGCGGACCGCAAATCGCTTATCAGTCATTTATTTAATTATTTATGTAGCTAAACAGAATTGAAAATTATTTTCATTCATTGTTGACGCAACCGGGTTCATGACCCCGCTCAAATGAAAGCTAATCAAAGCACAAACCGGTTTTCGGATTCCTTTTAACCTTAAACTTAAGACTATGCAGCTGCCGGCAGAGATTCCAGGGATTGGGATGATGACGCATTCTTCATTACCTAAGTTTGCCATTGTGCGCGGACCGGTATTTGGAGATGCGCTCCATGTACTCCTCATGCTGTTCTAAACTGGCCAACAGACCGCCTGTATTTACCGGCGAATCGTTGGGGCCATAGTTGATGGGCTCGTCGTCAAGGGTAGTCATGGCGCCACCAAGGGCACGTAATATGGCCTCACCGGCACAGATGTCCCACTTTTTGATGATGGAACTATGCAGATAGGCGGTTGCATTGTTAGCCACCACTTGGAGCACCTTATAGCCGGCACCGGCAGCTGTCAGCAAGCTAACCTGCTCACCGAACACATTGCGCGCCACATCCTTGACGGCGGCAGCATGCGAGCGGGAGACAGTGATGACGGGCTGATCAGATTGCAGGCGTGGCTGCTTATGCAATTCATCCAGGTACTCGGACATGCTGTGGCCAACCCAAGCCCAGGCGGTCTGACCGCTGAAGGGATTGTGTATGACACCAATCACTGGGCGACCGGCGACGGCAACGCACACCATGGTCGTTACATACTCGTAAAGCTCCTCTGGAAGGGCAAGGTGTTAAGATTCGATTGCTTGCAAATATAGCGCCACTTGTACCTGTAAACTCCTTGGTGGCATCCAGTGGATCTATCCAAATGGTTACGTCCTGCGCCGTGACTGCCACATCGGGCACAATGGCCGTTTCGTGGAGCACCGTGGGATCTAGGTCGAAGCTGTGCGCATCTTTGCATTGCTCCTTGTCCTCCTCGGAGAAGATGTGGACACGTGGAAAGATACGTTGCAAGCCCTGCTTCATCACACAATGCGAACGGCCATCCGCATCCGTAAATGGATCGTTGACACCTTCGGCTGTTTTGCCTTTGCTGCGCTCCTTAAGCTGTCGCGAATGCGCCACATCCAGCACCTCGAGCCCGCCACGCTGGGCCGCCTGAATAGCTGCGATAAGCATTTTGCGCAGATTTACTTTGTTGTCGCTGCGCAGCATGCCATAAATGGCGGGTCGCTCATCCTTGTGGTAGTTGAGAAAGTAGACAAGCACAATGGTCAGCAGGATAGCCGTTATGGTAGCTGGCACCCGATTGATACGTATCGTGCGTCCATTCATTTTGTCTAACGGTTTGCTGCTCATCAGGAATCACACGATGTCGTTAAACGTGCCACTGGCCGCGGGCAATGCCAGATCAGCAGCACAGATGGTTAACGTTCTGCCACAAGTAATTTATCGAAAAAAAAAACCAAAAAAAAAAACAGAATCAACAGAGACCAACAACAAGTGCCGAAAGACGACTCGATGTCAGTGTGTTGTTAAACAAATAGCTTTCGCGAGCCACCGTCTTCAGATGAAGAGAGCGAAACAGAGAGAGTGAGTAGAGGCCTAGCTGAGCCAGAGAGAGGCTCCAAAACCACGTCGCGTTCTTTCACCCTCGTGTTTGTTATTCAAAACAAACCAATTGTATAAAAAACAAAAACAATCAACAAAAACTATGACGTTAGGCGTCTCATGAAAATTGTGGTGGTTTGTCGATGACAACAGCACTGAATTAAAAATATCAAAATATATTTTAATTTCATGCATGCACCCGTTTTCCACACATTTTCTCTTTAAATTCTTGTTCTTAAATTTCCTATGTATGGTGGTGTAAACAAAACTTAAAAATTTCTGTATGTACTTGCCTATGCTTTAACATATATTTCATATTTTCGAATTTTAATTCATATTCGCAGCCCGATGAAAATCGACCATCGAAAAGCTGGCAGCTCTGCCGCGCGCTTTCAAAATCATTTGGCAAGGTGGCAGCCTAGCAATATAACTGTTTCTAGTGCACTAAAAGAAGACTTTCCGTAGAGAGTGATGTTAAAACGTGACTTGCAGACCATTCAGCTGAAGCTGTCCGACCTGGAGGAATATGAAGCTGTGCGTAGACGGAACAAAATAAAAGCCGCTATTGATGCGGGGAGAGCATCATCTGTGACGGCCACTGCCACTGAAACAGCGTTATCCACTGCCAGCGACTCGACCTCTGAGACACCCGTGACCCAGCGGCAGATGGAGGAACTCCCGCCCGCTACCGGCTGGTCAACAGCTGTGATTACCAGCAGTAGTAACACCAATTCCGGTTCCACTGAAGATGATACCAGTGTAGTAGCCGTTGTCGATGACAACGATACTGTCGCCGAGCTCAGCGATGACGGCTGGGTGGACATTGACGAGGAGGATGGTGCTCGAGGTGGCGAGTAATATTTAGTGTTTAGCTACAATCGACCAAGTAGCTACTTTCCACATACATATGTATATATATCGTAACTGTTTGCCAATTTGTTTAATGCTCATATTATACTATCGAAACTCAAAGTAATAATAAGCTGAATTTGTACACGTTTAAAAATAGAATGTTTTTCTCTTCCATAACGGCATTGGCATAACAGCTTTTGCCTATGAGCTTTTTAACTGTTTATGCATATACGAGTATGCAACGTGCAATCAAAGCTTTAAAGGTTCCGAGCGGCGCCCGATTTGAATTGCCGAAAGCTATGCGTCCAAACGGCAACGAATTTAATGATAGACGCTGAATCCTCAGGTGGTCGTTGCGCAAATGCCACACGGTCGGTCAATGCGGCATTGTCAGCCGCCGTGTGCGCCTGTCTGTCCGCATTCGCGGAACAAAACAAAACGCGAAGCGAGTGCGGTGCAAGGATTGGATTGAAATATTGGCGGTGCACCGACCGGCGCCAATTCACAACTCCTGCGCGAAGTTCATGTGCGTGCGTGACAAAATTGCGTTAAATGGGCTAATTGTTTGTTGTCATCCAAATTAGCGCGAGCCTTCAAATTAATTACGTGAGCAAATTGGATTTTGCGTCAACGTTTTCGCTGGTGTCCGTGACCTGCAGTCGAAAAGATCGACCCACGTGCTAACCAGCCGTCCCACTCTCCCCCCTCGGTTCCTGCCATTCGACCAAGTCAAATGTAAGTTAAACGTGACAGACAAAGACAGAGGCACAGAAACCGAGAACGAGCGACTGACAAACATTCGCACACGAAACATGCAAATGGCGGCGTTGCATTGATATAACCACCTGTCATACACACACACACACATGCATACACAAGCACATGCACTCACAAGTAACTGGCACGAGATGCGGCACGTGCAGTGCATAACGGAAATAAAAACAAAAGACACGTTACAGTGGAGCTTCGTTAAAAACTAATTTATGTAAATTGTCTATAGTTTAATGAACACTCGAAGAACATAACATATTTTACAGCTATAAAAATGATCAAAGTTGGAATGTGATAATTATTTATTTTTATTATTATTATTATTCGTGCGATGACATAAATATTTATACGAACCGATCCTTCTGTGATTTTGTAGCTAAGACAGCTTTCGAACGCTCTGAACACATTTTTCGCTAAGTGTAAAAAAATTGAGTTTGAGCCAAAGAGTTGTGTGTATTGTAAGGACTATCTGCTTTTACGGCTTGGTCAAGGTTATTCCCGCAGAGCTGTGTCCGTTTCGTCGGACTGTGCATAGGGAGCCTTGCATTAGTTGCACATAATTAGCTCAGTTCACTAGCCCACTAGCAACGCACACTCTTACACAGGCTGACATGTGCAATCAGATGCTTATCCCAGCGCCTGCTGCTGATGCTGATGCTGATGCTCATATTGCCACTGGGCTGCCCTCAACAGGTGCGACACAGCCACGCGCCGGCATCTCTTACTGATTTCCCACCGCCCGCACCGTTCCGTACAGCGGCCTGCATTATTAATGCGGCACAATGGACAAGTGCATGTTAAATAGAAAGCGGGTACAATGCAAACGACCCCACTGGCCTGTGTGTTAGTGTGAGTTAAGCCTTTCAGCTTCCTCATCACCGTCACCCGGCAACCCGTTGCGCCCTTCCGCCATTTCAGAGGCAGCCTTTACTGCTTTCTCAGTGCCATTCACAAGTTACTTCGAGCGGTTGCCTGCTTTTAGGCGGCCATGTTTTCATCTGTTCCGCTTTGTTGTTGTTTGTCCCAAGCCTTTTGTTGTTGGTGTTGTTGTTGCTGTAGTTGTTATTGTTCGTGTAAGTGTGTTTCTGCATGCAAAAACAATATGGCTGCACACTTTACAGTTGTTTATTCAGTGCGCGCTCACAGACACACACACATACACGCAGAAGTGCCTGCATACATATATATTAATATCGATATATTTGCTTATGTATTTGTGCACTGCAACGTTTTGTCAGCTAATTTGCATGAATTTTATTTCTGTGGGCGTGGCAGCAGGGGGTCGCGAGATGGCATGGGTTGAAGTTATTTTTCATGCCGACTGCACAAGAACATAACGGCAAATGACAATGACAACTGATTGACAACAACAACAATTGCAAACGACGTCAGAGGAAAACAAAATTTGCCATAATCAAATCAATATTAAAGCTTAAATGAAAAACAATTCGAGATACGTTGATGCCGGCCTAGCAAAAAAACTACAAAATGAAATAAAATATTTTTTAAAAACTCGTTTTTTTGCTTATTTGCTATATTTACATCATGCTCATATATGATACTGACACCATATAATATATTGAATATGTATGCACATTCCATTCCATGCGAACTAAGCCCAGCTTTGCATTCTTAAACAGGGTATATTGAGATTGAGTAATTAGAGCAACGGAAGCCTAACTCACGTGCTTTAGTTGTAGCTCTATTTTAGGTTCCACTGATTAAGCCTCAGACCCCAGACAAGATTGTCATACATACATATATTTATATACTTATACAAATATATATATATATATATATATATGTATGTATGTATGTATGTATGTATGTATGTATGTATGTATGTATGTATGTATGTATGTATGTATGTATGTATGTATGTATGTATGTATGTATATATTTATACATTTTATGGGTGCCATTGCTGTTTTAAAGCATGTGATTTTAATGAAAAATTTCGTGTAGTTTTTTGTTACTTTTTATAGCACATACCCCTTACGATGAGCAGAAAGAAGGGGTAGCATGCTTAACAGCGTAATATATGCAACTAGCAGGAACTACTACATATGTGAAATGAATATGAGCAATCTAGAAGGACAATATCGTAACGATATCGATAATAATCGATTTGACAAGACTATAAGCCTAGCTCAACTTTGATTTGAAGGAAAATTAAGCAGAAGAAATATGTCCATGCCCATGTACTGGGTATAGTTCGAGTCGGATATTGCCACAAAGTGAATATTTTTGGAGGTCTATCTAATCGTAGTCGTAGTCTTTTATGAGATGCACTAAATTAATATTCGGCTACTGTGTAAGCCCATAACCCGATAAGCCGATAACCGATATCTTAGAAACTGAGATGAGCTGAGTGTGGGCCTTGAGACTGCACTCGAACTATCTCGAACTATTTTGAACTATTTCGAACTCTTAGCAACTGTTAAATAACGAGCGATAACTGATAGCCGATAGCCGATAACATAGATATATAATCATATATCGAAAGTTGCTTGTTAATTAGACCTTGAAGCATGAAGTACTTAAAGCGTTTTCATGTCAAGACAAAGGCTATACGTCGATAAGCGATAACCAATAATCGATAACCGATAACCGAACATGATAGTTGGTAGCTGACAAGTGTTGCTAAGTGGTCTTATCTTGAGGCTGCTCTCCTGACGCGCTTCGTACAGTTTCATTTTGGATGCACCGAATGCGATAACCGATAACGATAACGCAAATGCAAGTACCGGCTTCGTAGGAGGGGTTTCTTTTCGCCGAGTTCCGTTTTGGGAATAGGTGAATGGACCAATTAAACGCTATATAGCCGTGCGCCCTCGAAAGTATGTAAAAGGTGTCGCCTGCCTTATCACGTCCGCTGAGGCTACAGAGGCTAAGGAGGCGGCCATTGGCACTGTCACTGGCATTGGCATTGGCATTGGCTCGGATGGAATTTAACGCACAGTTGTTGCATTTATTAGCTGCGTGAATAATCTGCTCTAGCTTCGTCTGCTTCGTCTCACTTTACATATGTACTTTGAGTGTGCCTCTGTGTTTGTGTGTGTGTGTGTAAATTTGAGATGCTGTCCGAATTGTTATCGCCACGCTCGTATCTAATTGTTGTGCCTTGTGTGAATTAAATCTGTGAACGATTCTCAACTATTGTTGTCTATTTGTTCGAACAAACATGAATACAAACTGTGGCAACAGGAGAACACAACAGCAAACACGGGGAACGATTGGAAGTGGGCTAAGCAAACACGCACGCACGCAGGCACGCACACACACACACGTGCTCACACACACACAGACAGACAGTTACACGCACACATACTCTCACTCACTCATTCACACACAGTCATGTGCTTATGTGGGCTATCGGTAGTCTGGGCTTAAAATAGCTCTTCAAAAATAGCTTGAACTACAACGGGATCTATCGGTTGTCCAGGAGCGGATCGCGGTCAAACGATGTGCAGCTTGCGCGCCAGCCGACAGAGCTGGCCCCAAATGAAGGCGGGCAGCGTACGGGGCGGCGGCGGCGGCGCCGGTGTGCATATCGATTGGGCACGCTGTATCAGCTGTCGCAGCATCGGCAGCCGATAGATGCAACCGCCCAACAAGTAGCAGCTGTGCAGCAGCGAGATGAGCACCAGCAGCGTCTTGAGCATGGACCAAATCGAGCGTCCGCCCAGCCGCCAGGCGAACGCTCGCTGGACAGTGGCCAGCAGCGATTGCGTTTGCTCCGCTTCAATGTTACCGGTCAGTGGCAGTGCCTCCAGCAGCTGCCTATGTTCCTCCTCCCCCTGCTGCTGCTGCTGGTGCTGCTGCTCCGGCTGCTGCTCCGGCTGTTGCTCCTCTGTTTGCGTCTGCTCATCGAACTGCAGTACCAACTGACGCTCCGTCTGCTGTGCCTTCAACTGTGCCCGCAGCTGCTGTGCTGCCGCGGCTGCCACAGCTACTGCAGCTGCTGCCGTCTGTGTGCCGATGCTGCGGTGCCGCAGCCGAGCGTCCAAGCAGATGAGCAGCCTGTCGCAGCTGCCGCATTGATGAATGTCTGCCATTTCGAAGATCTCGTTGAAGCCGGGCGGCGGCAGCTCGTCCTCTAGCTGCGGCCAGTTCTGGGCGCAGATCCAGGCGAAGAGTTTCACTGGATTCGTGGGCGCTCGGCTATCGTCGCTGCTAGTGGGCGTGGCAGTTGATGCAATGCTCAGCCGATAGCACCAATTGAGGATGGTTCGTTTCGTTTCTGCTTCCATATTCACATGAGCGCTGCTGCTGCTGCTGCTACTGCTGTTGTGTTGACTTTGGTGGGCGTGGCAACATCAAAATATATCTATTTGCCATACATATACACATATATACATACATATATATATATACATACATATATATATATATATATGTATATATATATATATATATATATACATATATACATATATATGTATCAGCTGGATTTGTCAATTCAGTTGGTCCACTTACGGAAATGGAAAGGAAAACCAAAATTAATCCTCAAATATCCAATTCTCCAGTTTCTGAATATATTTTCGGGTCGTATCATTACGCCTTAACAACTGACAACACTGATTTGTGGCACAAAGGCGATGCGATCATTAGCGTCCCGTTGGGCCCGAGTACGCACCTGTGCACGGTCTTTGCCCACCGTCTCCGTCTCGCTCTATTTGCATTTGACGCAGGCAATCGTTATCGATATTTTGTTATTGCTGTGCAAATGCAGCTTATCGGCTGCCTAAGCTATATTTGCTCAAATGTAAATAGGGCGGACTGCAAGGGGCGTGCCTAGCGCTTGTTACAAGCTGCGCTTATTCTGAGTGGGGTTTGGACAAAGAGTTGATATCGATAACGATATTGCCAGCGCTTATCGGATTGAGGCCTGGGCTTTTTTGAAGCATTTTAGATTGCAAAGCTACTTTTTCTTCGTGTGCCATTGGCTAGTGACTACTGTATTCGTATAGGAAATCGTAATTCTTATTGGAATTTACCTGCCAGTATTTATCAAGTGCTCGTGTAATGCTTGTTTTACATCGCTGTTGTTTTTCTGTTGCTGCGACGCGTACAGCCACGACAACAACAACAGAAACAGCAGCAAGAACAACGGTTATCAACCGCTCCGTTAGTAGCGCTTATCAGGCAGCATTACGACGATTGACGATCAACGACGTTCGCAAATCGTGTGACAGCAGCGAGGTGTTTCATCACGAGTTGCGCCCCCCGCGGCCCGTCCCGCTGCGCTCCTGAACTGAGAATAATAGGGCCGATGTTGGGGGATAATAAAGCACACACACACACACACACGCACATATATATGTACACATATGTGTATAGATTCGATCAAAGATTCTTATGGCAAAAATGCAAGTGCTTAACGATTAATCATATAACTAGATATATATACTGATATATATATATGTATATATATATATATATATTGATATGAAAGTGTCTTCAGCATAAAATCAATTTCCCTTACACATTGCAAGCTCTTTAAATCGTTTACACAACAAATTCACAGCAGGTCGTGCACAGTGGGTCAAGCTCAGGCGAAACTTCAATGAATTTGAAATTCAGTTAAGCTCACATCGATTTCAGGCTGGGCTTCATTTCCTTTTGCATTTCAGTTGAATTTTTGTTCCGATGACAATGCAACTGGTGCCACTGTGTCGCATGCTTCTCCAGCAAATACATTTCCAAAGTGTTGCTGTTAAACAGCGCTGAACTGCCTTTTATTGTTGTTATTGTTATTATCTGCGACACGCCGACACCGCGAATACTCTTAAGCGCTGCCATAAAGATTGTGCCATAATAGTGCTATAAAAACTTACGATCTATAGCCTAAATATATTTAGCTAGAACAAGTGTTTTATCCACTTGGAATTTTTGATTTTATATAGTAGTAAAGAAGTATCTATATATATGTTTGTATCTGTATATATATATAGAAAAGTAGTATATATAGACTTAAGGCGTGCTATATGAATACCCTCTGCTTGATATTATATAGACTTTAGATTTAGACTTGACATATATATTTGATTTCTTGTCATGTTGCCAACTGCGGCCAAAAGATGTAAGGCCCAAAAGAGCAGCATTCAGTGAATGAGTGAGATGGCGAGCGCAAAAGAGATGCATAGTTATCAGACTTATAAAGATTTGCCTTTTAGTATGCTCATTCTATATATATATAGATGTTAATTAACATTTAACACTCATCTCGTGGGTATTCCAATGCTAGCCACCCCCGCACCTTTGTCCACATACCATTACCACCTCCTCCCCCCTCTCGTCGCCGCCTCTTCAGGCATTTCACCAACAAAAATCATGTTACAAAGCGCCAATTTGCATATTCGAATCGCTCTGATAAGAATTCATAATACTAATCAGATTATTCTTACTCTCCGCGTCTCTCTTGCTCTCGCTCTCGCTCTCGCTGACTGATAAGAAAACATGAACCGATAGCAGCAGCGAAAGAGAGCGAGACCGACAGCGAGAGAGCAAGAGTGAGAGAGCCAATTGTAGATTTGCGGTGCTCGTCATAATTTTTGTTCTTTTCCTCTCGTTTCATTCGGCAATCGACAACGGCAACGGCTGTGTGTCCCACTCCAGAGCCAGAACGCTTTTAACCGTTACACGCCAAACGTAAGGCGAACGCATTTGAAGTTGAGCCGATATATATAAATGTATAGAAATATATATTAAACAGAATTATTTGTTTCGGTTGTATTTTGTGTTTTTTTTTTGTTTTTGTTTTCTTTTGTTGCTGTTGTTGTTGTCGTCGTTGTTGTGTTTTTTTCGATTCGAATAACCGCCCAGTTTTGAAAAGTTGACGCGATTTCAGTCCCAAATCGGCAGCTCAGCAACGCGCAACGAGTGCAAAGTAAAGTTCTGCCCAGACCCCAAAGGACATTTATCACACATGTTCAAAAATATATAACCAACAGTGCGTCAACAAACTAAAACAAAGAAAACAATTTCAACTAAAAAATAAACAAATTGAAAAAGAAAACTTAAAACCAAAAAGAAAACTCCAGCGATAAGTTAAAGCCAAGGTAAGCCATAGTAACCTATATTAAACTATCATATAAAGCCTTATCGAGCCAAAACAGGGTTCAAGGCCTGATAGAGCCCATTGTGTGCGAGCGGCCAAAGCTAATGCAGTGTCGTATAAGCACTCTTCACACTCAAGTTTGGAATTATATATATATTTATACATATATCTTATCAGAAGTACAAATAGCACAATTCCCTACGCATGCAGTCTTGACTTTTGTTTATAACAATTGCATTTTAGACAATTTTTTTTACCATTTTTTGTGTTATGCGTATTATTCTTATTGGCCTTTGGTTTATTCTTATACGACTTATTATTACTGTAATTGACATAATTATTTTTATTTGAAATTTACTTTATTTTAATATTATTATTTTTATCGTTATCATTATTAGGAAATATTTAAATAAATAATAGAAAAAAAAAATAAAATAAAATAGTTACAAATTAAACTTTTTTTGCTTGTTAGCTTGAATTTTTTAAAACTTGAAAAAAAATTTTCTTAAAAAAGTAAATAAAAAATAAAAGATTTTTATTTTTAATTTTTTTTAGCTTCAAATAATAAAAAAATTATAATTAAAAAAAAAAGAATTGTTGAAAATTGAAAAATCTAAAAATAAATTTAAATTTAAAATTTAAATTATTTCTTAATTTTATTAATTTAATTGCCTATTATTTTTTCAAAATTATTTTTAATTCCTAAAATAAAATAAGTATTATTGAAATTTTTTTTACTTATTCTATAATCAAGTCAGCTGCATCAAGGTCCTGCTGGAGGCGGTTTCGCACTGTCCCTTTTTGCATCGATTTCAGTGGGTCAAGTGCACGTGCCCACGTGTGGTAGGTAGTTGCGTTGGGTGGCGAAGAGGGCTGGGGGCCGTGGGTGGTGATTGCTGGTTGGAGGCGGGCGCGAATCAAAGTCAAGGCCAAAGCAATTAAGTCGTCTGACCGGACAATTCGACTGCATTATTGTGACAGGCGTGTAAATTAATAAAATGCTAATTATTGCTATTTGTCATGAACAAAGTGCGAAGCTGACAGATAGAGAGAGAGAGAGAGAGGGGGGAGAGAGAGAGAGAGGGGGGGAGAGAATGACTAAGACGCAGGAGAAAAGCAAAAACTGCAACTGCAACAGTTTCTTTTCTTTACTTCTAACAGTTTTACTGCGTCATAAATGTCATTCATTCCTCTGCATTCCACACGCACACACACACACGCACACACACACACACACACGCACACACACACACACTTCCAGTTTTCATTCTTGCATATCGCCTCATATCAAACGGAGGAAATGAACTAATTTGTGATCTATCGGAACCAGCTGAACTGAGCTGAACTGAACTGAACTGAAGTGACTCAGCCAAGTGAGTACTGACCTAAGATCCTCGCTCACTGGCAGCTAGCTTTGGCTTGGTCTACGGCACTTTCGTGCCGCATTTCGTTATGTTATACTCGCTCAGCAGGTGAAGAGAGTATATTGGCTTTATGAAACATATTAGATAATACTAGAATGTCAACTTATATGCATGGCAAGGGGAAAATAATAGTAATAAATAATAATAATAAATAATAATAATAAATAATAATAATAATAATAATAATAATAATAATAAATAATAATAATAAATAATAATAATAAATAATAATAAATAATAATAATAATAAATAATAATAATAATAAATAATAATAATAATAATCATAATAAATAATAACAGTTAGAGCCATCCAGCTTGGGACGTGCCCATCTAGTCAGAGTCTTCAATGCGCCTTGTTGTGCTGATCTGTTCTATAACCAAGCCTACACGTTCTGCGGTTAGCCCATTCGGGGCGTGGCAGTTCAGTAAACAAACAATTTAGCTTGAGTGCTTTAGTGGCGAGTATGCTGCAGTCGTTGCAGCTCGCCTAACAATTTTCTCACTTATTGCTGTTTGCGTCGCTCTTTTATCGTTTCTGTTTGGGGGTTCAACGACTTGCGGCAGCAATCGCCGGTGGCTGCCAACATTCGCAGTAATCTAACGGCCTGGCAGCCAGCGGCGCCTGCCCTCGCTGCCAGCTCGGGCTGATTGCAATTTGCATCAGAGAATTTGCACCTTGAATTTTTGGGCCATGGCTAGGGATAGGTCAGTGTGCATGCCACATGCCGCATGACGCACGCCGCACAACTGTTACTAGCTGCTACAGAGTGGACCCGCCCCTTAGATAAACGCCAGCATCAAGCATCAAAGTCCCAGTGAACTGAGCTGCAGCTGTTATCGCTCGCTGCCTCGACTTTAGACCGTTCCAATTCGACCAACAATAGAATCCAGCGACTTCCAAGATTGCACAGCAGCTCCAAGGCATATCTATATCTATGTTTATATATATGTGTAGTATATGAGTATATATCCCATATGCCTACTATTGCAACTGTATTTTATGGCAGCCATAATCGATTAAGACTCTCAACAAAAACAAAACATTTATCACTTCAGTTCCATAAAACACAAAAAAAACTAGTTCAGCAGCGGAACTACTCACGTTTTTATAACTAAATGAAAAGTCTCTATAATTAAATACATAGTTGTCGAGCAATATACAATATATATACATATATATATATATGTCTGCATCTGTACTATGATTATTATTATTGTTTATTATCTTTTTTTTTTGTTTATTGAATTTATTGAGTGGGCGGTGCACAAGTATCTCAAGCTCTCAATTAGTAACACGCTGCGTATGCGCAATATTCGTTTCATCTTTGCTGCTGCTGTTGTTGTTGTTGATAATCAGCATTTTGTGTAACTAATTTAACCTTAAGAGATTAAAAGCAACATTCAGTTATCTAGCATACAACATATATATATAATATATATATATTTATATGTTCATTCAACTGAAAGTCATGGTCGAAAATTTTGATATCACTTTCATAAGAAGCCTACGTATGTTGCTCTCTCTATCTCTCTCTCTCTCTCTGTCTCTCTCTCTCTCTTTCTCTGTCGCTGTGCTCAGGTTCAGGTACCGCTTGCCCAATTTTAATTGCCTTTGATTACACAAAGCTCAGCGCCGCCTTGCACGTCTATAAGACGTGACTTTGTCACTGTGACTGTGACTGTGACTGCGACTGCGACTCATCAGTCATGACTCATGGCGCCGTTTCCTGTTGTTGTTATTGTCGTCGTAGACGCCCCTACGCAGGCTGTGCTTTTGCGCTGCTCTTCTCTACTCTTCTCTTGTCTTTCTCTCTTCTGTTGTCTTTCTCTCTTCTCTTCTCTTCTCTCTCATCTGTCATCTGTCATCTGTCATCTGTCATCTCTCATCTCTCATCTCTCCTTTCTTATCTCTCATCTCTCATCTTTCTTCTCTCTTCTCTCTTCTCTCATCTCTCATCTCTCATCTCTCATCTCTCTTCTCTCATCTTTCTTCTCTCATCTCTCATCTCTCTTCTCTCATCTCTCATATCTCATCTCTCATCTCTCATCTTTCTTCTCTCTTCTCTCATCTCTCTTCTCTCATCTTTCTTCTCTCATATCTCATTTCTCATATCTCATCTCTCATCTCTCATCTCTCATCTCTCATCTCTCATCTCTCATCTCTCCTCTATCCTCTCTCATCTCTCATCTCTCATCTCTCATCTCTCTTCTCTCATCTTTCCTCTCTCATCTCTCATCTCTCTTCTCTCATCTCTCATATCTCATCTCTCATCTCTCATCTTTCTTCTCTCTTCTCTCATCTCTCTTCTCTCATCTTTCTTCTCTCATATCTCATTTCTCATATCTCATCTCTCATCTCTCATCTCTCATCTCTCATCTCTCATCTCTCATCTCTCATCTCTCCTCTATCCTCTCTCATCTCTCATTTCTCATTTCTCATATCTCATCTCTCATCTCTCATCTCTCATCTCTCATCTCTCATCTCTCATCTCTCATCTCTCATCTCTCATCTCTCCTCTATCCTCTCTCATCTCTCATCTCTCATCTCTCATCTCTCATCTCTCCTCTCTCCTCTCTCCTCTCTTATCTCTCATCTCTCATCTTCATATCTTCTCTCTTCTCTCTTCTCTCTTCTCTCTCCTCTCTCCTCTCTCCTCTCTCTTCTCTTTGACTTTCCGTTGTCGTCACTATCTGCTCATTTCCTTGTTATTTTCATTTTTGTTGTCTGTTTTTCCTTCTCTATTGTATTATTTTGCTCGCTGTGCATTTATTGTGTCATTATTATCATCGTTTGGCATTGTTGCAACTTTTGCGCATTGTTTTCACTTGACGGCTACAACAACAATGCAGATTCAGCATGCAAGAAATTGTAATACATATTTATATATATATATATAATGCTATTCATATGTGTGTATATTCTACACGGCATTTGCAAGGCGATTAACCAACTGACGTCAGCTATTGTAACATGCTATGAGCATTAAGTGATCCACGCTGATCGTCCAGAAACCCATCAAAATCACTTTTCGAACGGGCCGCATTCCAGCTGGAGCCTAGCTCAACAGTTAGCCAACTGAGAGAGTTGAGCTAAGCCAGTGACCCCAGCCAGCTGAAGACATTATCAGACGAGTTCCCAATTGCATGTCTCCAGTTGCAATAACAAGTCCGAGTATCAGCAGAAAGCAGCTGAGGCAGCAAACTTGTTGGCTTCATGCATTCGATGATTAATTTGGGAATGATTTGCACGTTTGGTATTTTCGATATTTATTATGATTATCCAGACATGAAGCTGAAGAGTGCAGCTAGCGATGGGTAGCACTTGTTGCGGGTTCAATGAACAAGGGGCAGCACTTGAATTGAACTCTATGCGCTGGGCAGCACTTTTCCTAAGCAAACGACTCTGATTGGCTTTGTATTAAGTAAAATGCATATCTAGATACAAAGATATAGATATAGATACACGATATAGATAGCTCAGTCTTAGCAAGTTGCTAAGCGAATGAGACAACAGCAGCTCTTTCTGAATGCTTATCAGACTAGATGTGCTCAATATAGAAGTATTTAACACATGTGTATATGTTTCAATAAAATATATATTTAGTTTATTGCCACCAAAACAAGCGCTGAGGGGGGCCCTGATAACCAGATCCATTCTATAAATGAGATTTAATTGAAAATAAAACTTTTGTACTTTTCCTCCTACTTTGTTTTGATGAACGAGCGGTTTTAATTCGAATCGTATCATATCATCTCACAGACACAGATCGCCCCTTTGCTGCTCGCCCTCCAGCTCAAGAGGCTGCTGATAACAACAACAACAACAACAACAACGACAATAGGGCAACGAAGCTTCTGGACGTCGCAGCGATGCCCTCTCTCCCTCGCTATTGGCAGGCTGTCAAGCCAAACATTTATTTTCACGTTACGTCGCCTGATTGACGGACAGTTCAGTAGGTGTCGCCGCAACCTGATAACCGCTTCGATTCGGTTATGCTGCTAGCAGCGAACTGCGGCGAGGAGCCAAGTCCAGCAGCTCAATCTAAGGCTCGATTATTGAATCATGCGCTGCACCAAAGCCAGCGAGAGAATTGTCAATAAAACAAGTTGCAATGAAACCTTAAATCTTAAGTCTAGAGATTGCAGAGATATGGCACCGCTCCGAGCGTAAATTGGCAGCACTGTTAACTGAGCTTGAATCTAACGACTCGTAACGACTTTAGCTGTAAGCTTTACTGTATTCCCATACTATATAGAATATATATCAGCTTGATCTTATATTATATATATTGGTATTATATTATATATATATATTTTATAGTTCTATAGCTTCTTAGTACCTATGTATTTTCCACTTGCTCATGGGTTTTCTAATTCTAATTATTTTCCAGCCCGGCACAACATGCCGCAGCAGTCGAAATCGCAGCTCAGATAGGAAAATTTCTGGATCTGACACACACATATACACACGTCGCTGAGTGAAGCAACGCCCAAGGGCACGAACACGCTCCACGTTCCACATTCCACATTCCACATTACATAGAGCACAGCACAGGATACAAAAATGGTGCACGGACCGCCAGCTCGCAGAAAATCACAGCAGCAGCAGCCGAACAACGGGAATGGCAAATCAAATGGACAATGCGAAATGGATATGGATCCAATGCCCACGCCCCCAGATGGAGGCTGGGGCTGGGTAGTGGTCTTTGGCTCCTTCATGATTCACATAGTCAGTAAGTGCTCATCGAAAAGTCAATTAACCAATGAACGCGCTTGAGGCGAGTGCTCAAAGGATGCGCACAGTGGGGCAAAATTGAATGTGCAAACAAAAGAGACATAGAGAAATCTCTTAGGTGAAGCCATTCTACAACGTAGTGCACACTGAATTGTCAAGTACTCTGAAGTAGACCTCATGCAGGGAGCACTACAAACTTAAAAGATTACAAGAAATCAGGTTTACAATCGAAAAGTTAGTTAAGATTTGATAGGAATATATATAAATAAAGGTTATCGATAACAGTTTCGAGTGTAATCTAATTGTTTTAGACACTATCAGGCTGCTTTGCCTGAAAACACTTGTACGCCTGATATAGCTAATGGTTAATCTATGATCTGACAGATAAGCCACTATCACATTTTATAGTATTTTCATATGGCAAAGTCTAAGTTGATTCACGTTAACTAATTTGTCGTTATTAAACTAATTACGAACTTAGAGCATGGAGTTAGAGAAACACAATAGGCTATCGCAGCAATTCAATCACAATCGCCTTTGCCACGCTCACTCAAGTGCATGAGAGTGCATCGATAACAAATTCGTGCAATATCAACTATCGCATTTGCTGCACTCACGACTTTCTAGAGTTGCGCTTGAAGTTCGATAACAACTTATCACGACACTAGATTAAATGACAACAATCGCCTTTTTGAGTTAAGCTCCAACTGGCAGGCAAATGAATTACGATAAAATGCCGGCAGGTGCAAAGAGAATACTTTCAGATTTTTAAATTGATCAATTGAATTAACTTTCGATCAAACATATTGTATCTATTGGCATTAGTTAAACGAAATTGATTAGTAATTAATTAACATATGAATACGAAACAGGAAAAATCCCCCTTTAAAGATCTTGCATGTCTATAAATTAGATAAACATTTCATGTGCAGAGTAAGCTAACAACCACTGTATACATTTTGTATGGAAATCTATTCAAAGTGCCTGTTTTTGATGTTTCAATTGCTGCTTCATTTTCTAGTTGAATTTGCGGCTGCCAATTGGCATGGCAACCGCCTGGAGCTGCATTCATAAAGCAATAAAAAATAGAAAAGCTATTCATACATACAAGAGCATAGAAATATTTATATATATATATATATGAGTGTACAGGTGTATAAAACCTTGGGTATGGGGGTATCATAAATGCTCGTTTTAATCGTGCAAATCAAATTTGTCAGCCAGACGTGCGATTACCACTTAGCCATAAAACTTAGTTAGCTGTTGATTTACGATAGGAATCGAGTTATAGATATGAATATGGCTGCACATACGAGCAGGAGGACAGACGAAGGACACACATGTAGTGGCTAATACATAGCATAGCTATTAGTTTGGGTAATTGGCCAATTGGCTAAATAATCTTATCGACCCCTAATTGACACGCCATAAGAAGCTTCACATGTCGCCATCGGTCGTGCCCCTTATCTTTTAGTTTGGGCCCATTAACGTGTCAACGGTATTTTATTTATATTATATATAGACATATAAAGTGAGATTTATTCATTTCTAGTCTAAGCAAAGCTATTCGCATTTTGCATATGCAGAAAGCATTGTCTACTTGCGGGGGCTTTTTTAGTTCACCTCAGATCAATTCGAATTTATCGATAGCAGCAGGCCTAACCAGTTCGATAAGTTGAATATGTTTTGTAGAAGATTGATTTATTCGAAATGAGTGCTCGTTGCAAGCTCGAAAAAATGAATTTCGATCGAAACGAGCTTAATTTCAGTTGATAGAAGATCGAAGATCAGATTGCATTTGACTTTAATATCTTAACGTATACGAAAGAAGAGCTAAAATTCTGCAGCGCCTTTGGGCTAGGATATATAGAGATGCAGATACAGTTTTATATAGCAATAAGCTCACGTCCAGCTCTCTTCGACTTCTTCGAGAGTCAAATTACAATAATGCATGAAATAAACATATATATTTCAGCCGATGGCATGACCTACTCCTTTGGCATATTCTACAACGAGTTCCTCACGTACTTCAATGAGGGCAAGGGCTACACCGCCTGGATAGCATCCATAATGGTGGGCGTTACCTTCTCGTCAGGTGAGCTCTCGCTCTGTGCTCTATGAGTGCCGCTTGCCTCGAATCATGAAATCATTTGCCTCGACCAGGTCCCATCAGTTCGTCGTTTGTGAATCGCTACGGCTGTCGGGCGGTGACCATTGCGGGCGCCATCCTGGCCGCCGGCTGCATCATAGTCAGCATATTCGCCCAGAATGTGGCCACGTTGATTGTGACCATAGGCTTCGGCACTGGCCTGGGCTTCGGGCTCATCTATTTGCCGGCCATTGTCAGTGTGACGCAGTACTTCGAGGCGCGTCGCTCGCTGGCCACGGGCATCGCGGTGTGTGGCTCGGGCTTTGGCACCTTTGTCTTTGCACCGCTGACGGAGCTGCTGATTGGCAGCTATGGCTGGCGCGGCGCGATGCTCATCATTGGCGGCGTCGTCCTCAATTGCATCATATTCGGTGCCATGTTCCGGCCGCTGGAGGCGCCGCGTCCCAAATCGCCCAAGCTGGCCAAAAAGCCAACGATCATGGATCAGAATGTGACACCAGCCGAACTGGAGCCGCTCAAGGCTCAACTGACTGGCACGAAACCAGCTACGGACCAGTATCTCCAGCTGCCGCAGCGCCACGATGCACCAGTCAATGGTGGCAACGGCCTATGCCGCTCCAACAGCGTGGGCCATAATCTCAAGACCAGTTTGGTAAGTAGCTAACCCCCAGCCAGTCTCGCCAGCCACAGCTCGACTCACGTCTACATCCTGCCCATGCAGAACAACAACTCCAATGGCCTGATCAGCGGGCAGTCCGCGAATGCGACGACCGTGGTGAAGAGCAACAGCAATGATGATCTGGGTCGCACCTATGCCAGCCAGCCGCAGTTGATGCCGCTGCGGGAGACGCATCGCGAGCGCAGTGCCAGCGGCACCATGTATCGCCCGGATGCATTCTACCAGGTACAGCTGAGACACCTGCTCTCTACCCGCAACCAACTCAACTCGTCTTTCTACCCTTACAGGGCTCTCTGCACAACATACCGGAGTACGCCAGCTCACGGAATGATCTCTCGCACTCGCGCGCCGGTTCCGGCATCATCAAGCGCTATGGCTCCCTAAGACAGAGTCATTCGCTGGCCCAGAGTCAGGTAAGCATAGCTGCTACTCAGCAGAGCAGCCAGCAACTGAATCCTCCATGGGAGTTGAGCCTCCCTTCCTTTCTCTTAGAAATGTATCTGTATCTATTGTTAGTAGATACGTCCAACAATACATACAGATACATTTTTTTAGATACAGATACATTTTGAAATCTAAAAGGCATACATAAAGTATCTAACAGATACAATTGGCAAAAGTATCTCAAAGATACCTTTAAATCGGATTGCAAGCAGTAAAATATATATCCTATAAGCAAGCTAGCTGAAGTGTATCTGCAAAGTATCTCTCAGATACATTCGCAGACAGTATCTTTAACTTTTGGAGCTCTCTATTGTGGTAACCTAGACTTAGGCATCCGTCAGATACAATCAAGCAAAAAGTATATTTTACACAGCAGACTCCTTGAAGTGCAGAGCTCAAATTACCCTATGACAACAGCTGCAGATGTTAGATATCTTAAAAGTATCTTTAAGATACATGAAAGCTGAGCTGTACTGGCCATAACGTGGGACAGTTGAAAGTAGGCCATTCGATGTCTAGACCCAAGGCCTAATCCAATTCCTATCTATCCCTTCAAAACGTGCTCCATAAAAAGGTTCAACTAATGCTGTCCAATATCAGTACAGGATTTATTGAAGCTCTGTATGAAGTTGAATGTCTAGAATGTGTATTGTAGAATCATTCGGATTGTACTTTTTTGCATTTATCTCTAGGCAATAATATGTTTCCCAAGAATATAGCTATAAAAAAAAAAACAAAAAAATCATTAACTTAGACTTAAATGTCGTCCGGGTTAGGCCAGAAAGCGGAGCCAGAGCCAGCTGAGCAGCTTATAGAGCAGATACAAGCGCACGGCATTATAGATGCCATTCTTACTGCAATCATAGAGCGAGAGTTTATACAGATGGATATAGTATATAGATATATATGAAAGATTTCGACTGCTGCGACTTACATGCGCATTATCAGCTGGGCGCGAGGCAAAGTGCTGGGATCCTCGTTCATCAGATCGTGCCTTATGCTCTGGATCATATTTTTGCAGGCGTATGTTAGGCGTTCCTGGTTGTGCGCATTTTCGTACTCATCGCTCAGGTCGAATTCGGTGCTGCATTGATTCAAGACAAATGTGATTTAATATAGATGATAGATAATGAAACAAAAGCTCAGTGATAGATCAGACATACTCGATCAGAAATCAGAGATTAGAGATCGCATATCCAAGAGCTGAGATCTAAGGTCTGAGAGTTGAGATCGAAGAGAGATCTAAAGCCAGAGATCAAAGGTCAGACAACAGATATCGAAGATCTGAAGATCTGAGATCTGAGATCTGAAACCGGAGATCTTAAATCGGAGATCTGAGATCTAAAATCAAAGAACGAAGATCTGATATCAGAGATCTGAGATCATAGCTGAAAGATCTGAGATACTAGATTAGATATCGAAGATCTGAGATCAGAGATCAAAGATCAGTGATCTGAGATCAAAAATCGGAGATCTGAGATCTGAGATCAGAAATCAAATATTAGAGATCAGAGATCTGAGGTCTGAGATCAGATATTGAAGATCTGAGATCAGAGATCAAAGATCGCTGATCTGAGATCAGAAGTCTAAGATCATTACTCAAAGATCTAAGACCTGAGATCAGAAATAAAAAATCTGAGACCTGCGATCAGAGATTGAAGATCTGAGAGTAGATATTAAATTCAGAGATCTGTGACCGAAGATCTGACAATTGGAATCAGAAGCCGTTGAGGCGGCTGATCAGCTGCTAGGACACTCACCCTCTGGTCTGCTCCATCAAGCGCTCATAGTCCGTGACGCCAGGACTGTCATAGTTGTTGAACAGGAAGGGTTTCATTACCTCCAGCGTGTGGTAGAGCTTGCGCTGAATGGCCAACAGGGCCGGTGGGCGGCCGGATAGCTTCAATAGCAGGTCCACCAATATAGCTGGCAGCAGTTGCTTGGTGATGAACAGGAACTTGTAGACGAAACGATTGTCCGTGTAGTGGCAGCCGGGCACAGTAAGGTTCTTGAGAAAGGCGGCGCTGTACCAGAGATTCATGGCGTCCATGTGGGAGGCCATCTCGATGAAGGTGTACGGAATGTGGGTCTTCGACGACGTCTGGTATATCAGCAGCTCTTTTGGCGTGCTATGGCAATCGTTAGATCTGTTTGCTAGGGGCACTTTGAGGCGAACCGTCTCTACTCACCCCTCGCGGTAGGCGTCGTAGCCGCATTTCGTATAGTAGATCATGCCCTTGATGCCCATGTCCTGCGGCGTTATGTCCAGATACGTTGAGCGGCCTATATAGACGGTCTTCAGCAGGCCAGCGCCCACCAGCGAGAAGAGACCCATGGCGCCCATCAGCGAGGGCGCGTACCCAGGCAGCGGCTCGCGCACGGCGAAGAGCACTAGCAAAACATTTCAGAGATGATCAACTATCGCTTAACGAGTGCAGCGCAGACAAACCTATCGACGGCCGATAGACGATAACCGGCAAGCGCGTGCGATAATCGTTGATCAGCGATTCGGCCAGATTCTTCGTGAACGTGTACGTATTGGGAAAGCCCACAATCAATCTAGAGAAATGCACCGAAAGTGAGTGATGAGGCAGCGACTTAAGATTCGTTGATTGGTTGCATGAGAAACTGTCAAACTACGCGTGGGCGACAAGACTCAGTGGCTCAACAATCAGTGCAGCTTGGAATTGTCCAATTGGAATTCCAATTGGATTGATTCGTACTTCACAGTTGGAGAGTCACAGTCAAAGGGAGAAAATCACACAGCTTGAGATGGGACAGTCGTCGACCGCGCCTCATAGCTACAGTTTTAGAGTCACTCAGCGAATACCAATTCCACAGTTTTCGAGTCATTGTTGGGTCACTGAAAAGTCGACTCGAAAGAGTTTGAGCAGCACTGTTTTGCCTACAGTTTGGCAATCATTGAATTCTGTCACTGCTCTGAGCAGACTCACAGTTTTAGAGTCACTCAGTTTGTTGTGTTTGTGTTGCTGCCACGCCCAGCGCTTGCTTGGAACTTACTTGCGTGTGAGCGTATCCAGGATGCTGTCGTCCTTGATCTCGTGCAGCAGCCGCAGGCAAAGGCGCCAGTCCATGGGCGAGCCGTACCACTGCAAATGGGAAGAAGAAGACAGAGCTTAGCTCAGGCGGACTGGAAAGAGCATTTGGAGTTGACAAGAACCTTGGGCTCCACGCGCTTCAAATACGGATTGCTAAAGAAGGTGGAGACATGGACAAAGATGCGCAGATGACGCAGTTGCTCGGCAAACTTGAGCGCCTCCAGCGTGCCGCCCACGTTCAGCTGGAGGGCAACGCGCAGCGGCTCATCGAACCGCACCGTGGCCGCACAGTGAAAGACAATCGAGACCTGGCCGAGCAGCTTCAAGTGATTGGGATCGATGCCCAGGTTCGGCTGTGCCACGTCGCCCGGTATGGCAATCAGTTTGTCCAGCTGCTCGGGCTTCTGCGTGCGCAGCACCTGAAACACTTTCGCCTCGCGCATCTTGGCCAGCCGCTGCTCGGCATTCAGCTGGCCACGCGGACGCAGCAGCACATAGACGCGGCGCAGATTGGTCGAGCGCAGCAGCTTCTCGATCAGCGCCTTGCCCACCACGCCCGATCCGCCGGTGACAAAGATCTCGCTGCCCTCAAAGAACTCGGCCAGTGTTTGTGACATGGCCAGGCGATGCGTATTCCTTCAGCTCCAACTCCAGTCCCAGTTCCAGTTCCCGTTGTTGTCCGCCTCGCGATCACAAACACACTAAACCCCGCCGCCAGGCAGCGTCGCCTCAGCGACTCGCGCTGCCCGCCCGTTAATTATTCATTGGATCAACGGTCATTAAACTCACATGACCTACTTAAGTAGACCGCATTACAATGAGTCTATAATGGAGCTCCCCCATTGGACGGGGCGGCTCGGGGCTCAGGGCTCAGCGCGACGGAACCAGTCGAGATCCGTATGGGAGTTACGTGCGGCATTCGACCTTGACTGAGCTCTTTGGGCGCGCATGCCGAAAGAACTAATCTAATTAAATGCAAATAAAATAGTTCTTACGTGAACTAGTACTGAAATGAAATTATTTTCAAAATAATTCCTCTTATTAGGGATGCGGAGGTGAAGTCGTGTTGACCTCTTGAGTTAGAATCGAATATCGAACTGAATGAACTAGCTCTCAGAATAACTAGATCACTTTGTGCACAGATAGGCATTTGCGATGATCTCCTAAATTCAAATGAACATGTTTTATAGAATGAACTAGTTCATTTTTAATACAGAGCAGATACAGTCCAGCTCCAGGGGAATTACTTATTAGCCTAGATTCAAGCCGTACTAGATATGGAACTAGTTCCAATTTTGTTGCTTATAAAATCAATTCCGAGAATGTTTACATAATGAACTAGTTTTTAGTCACACTACTTAATCCACTAGTTCGCAATAATTGTACAGAATGAACTAGTTCCAAGTCACAGCAAAAAGATTGTGTACTCAGTTATAGAACCAATTCCCAGAATACTTACCTGCTGAACTAGTTCTTAATCAACTGGTTCATAGTCAAATTGAACTAGTTCCAAGATATAACTGAAATCTTAGCAAAAGCACTTAACTTAATATTGAGATAAAGGCGACTAGTTCCGAAGAACATTGAACTAGTTCAAAAACCCTTTGATTATAGAACCAATTCCGAGAAGAATTACTTACTCAGCTAGTTCTTAACAAACTAGTTTGAAGTAATTGTAGAAAATGAACTAGTTCTAAGGCAAAACTGAAATATCAAAGAAAAAACTGAGTCAGATGCGAGCTAGAGGAAATTGAGAAGGGAGACAAAAGAGAGAAAGAGAGAGAGGGAGAGGGATGAGCACTTCCTCATAGAAGGATAAACTAAATTCAAAAAGATCTAGATCTTTTGAACTGATTTTTCTGCTCTTTGCAGGAGATGACCAAATGCTGCGGCTGCATCAGCTGCTCGAAGGAGACGCGCGACACGTTCGCCGAAATGATGAACTTCTCGCTGCTGAAGGACGTCATCTTTGTGATCTTCTCCGTGTCCAACTTCTGTACGAGCATCGGCTTCAATATGCCCTACCTGTACGTAGTCTCGCAGGCGGAGACGCTCAACATAAGCAAGACCGACGCCAGCTACCTGATCGCCTCGATTGGCGTCGCCAACACCGTGGGCCGCATCATCCTCGGTTACATAGCGGACAAGCCGTGGGTGAATCGCCTGCTCATCTACAACGTCTGCCTGACGGCGTGCGGCATAGGTAAGCCAGCTGGCTACGGACCAATCCTGATAATAATCCCTGAAATTTGCTTGGCTCTTGCAGCTACTGCGATGGTGCCGCTCTGCAAGGACTACAATTCCCTGTTGGCCTACTGCGCCGTGTTCGGCTTCACCATTGGCGCCTATGTGGGCCTCACCTCGGTCATTCTGGTGGATCTGCTGGGCCTGGAGAAGCTGACCAATGCCTTCGGCTTGCTGCTGCTCTTCCAGGGCATTGCCAGCTTCATTGGACCACCAATTGGCGGTAAGTTGTCGCCAAAGAGCTGCAGCTTGACAGCGAGTCAGCGACTCACGTGAATACCCTTCCATATGCAGGCTGGATGTACGACATCACGGACTCCTATTCGCCGGCCTTCCTCATGGCCGGCATCATGATCGCCATCAGCGGCCTGGTCATGTTCGTCATACCCCCGCTGCAGCGCTACCAGGAGCACAAGGCTGACCAGAAGTTCAACTCGGAGCAGCTGGCGCTCAGTTAGCTCCAACGGCCAAATCATTCATCATGATTAACGAGTGTATCCAAACATTTGTATACTCTATTTTCATATTTGTGTTTTTTTTTTGATTATTTTTTTAATTTTAGTCTCTTATGTAAGGGGAAATTGCATTGAGTTGAGAGCAGCGCGCGCTAGACAAATGTATGTAGTAAGGAGTAGGCTTAGGTTCGGGGCAAGACACACACACACACACACAGACACGCACATAGCTATAGACATAAATTATTTATAAAAGAACATAGCCAAAAAAAAAGAAGTACAACAACAACAACAACAACTGAGCACGCTACGCTTTCTGCCTGGTTTTGCATACCCTGGCAAAAGTGAGCTGCCTCTGCATAAGGCAGCTGCCCCAGCGCCCAGGGTCAGGCTGGCAGAGCACAGTTTGACAGGCATTGAGCAATCTACAACAACAACAACAAACAAATCGAGCAAAGCACAAGCAGCGTATTGCGCCGTCGGCTACGCTCGGCCTGGCCCCATTTTCACTTGTTTTTCTGCTTGGATTTATTTGCGTTCTATTTCCCAGCATTTCTGATTGGAAATTCCAATTGGAAACCCTGTGCTTAGCTTTAAGTTGATATACTCGTGCGCCGCAGACAAGCACAAAGACAAAACACAACATATTTCCTCTACACACACACACACACACCTATACTCTATGCATGTATATGTATATATATATATATATATATATATATATATATATATATATATATATATATATTAGTGTTAATAGCTGGACAATTATTTTGTACGATTGTGAAATTTGTTATTAAAGTTAACAAAAGAAGACGAGAAATTCGACTTTAAAATTTTTCCATTTTTGCTGTTTACACAATTTGAAGTCAATTTGCAATCCAATCGATGGGAACAGACGTCAAGAGTTCGTGCCACATGTGTGTCTGTGCACGACTCGCCGATCGCAAATGCTCACAAGTTACATTAAATAAACTCAAAGTAAAACATATCAAAGGCCAACTTTTATTCGGTTTGGGTATTCCAATTTCGTGGCGAAATGACTAAAGTCTAGTTGGAATCCAATTAAATACTATTTATACCGCTCGCCTGCCGCATTAGTGGGCAGAATCATAGGCCACAAACTATCCTATATATAATCTATATATATGTGTTCTATGAACTATATGTGTGCGCATATATATTGCTGATCAACTGATCAAGAGCTGGTTTCTTTGTCAACTCAATAGTTCGATAAGCTAAAGCTGCTAAGAACTAGTTCAGTATGTAAGGGTACTCGGAACTAGTTCTGCAAGCTAAGCTAATCGGAACTAGTTCAATGAGTAAAAAGCTTATAACATTGCCTGGAACTAGTTCACTCAAGGAGTGAAAGTCTTCGGAACTAGTTCATCTTGTAACACTCCATAGAACGAACTTAATAAGAAAACAAGTCGGAACTAGCTCAGCTTGTAAGGCAGCGCGAAACTAGTTCTACATGCTAGCTGCATTCTAAGCTGATCGGAACTAGTTCAATAAGTAAAAACTTATAACATTGCCTGGAATTAGTTCAATAAATAAAAGAGTAAAAGTCATCGGAACTAGTGCAGCTTGTAGCACTCCACTGAACTAGGTTAATAAGTAAAACTAGTTGAAACTAGTTCAGTTTGTAACAGTCCCTGTAACTTGTTTAATAAGTAAAAACAATTGGAACTAGTTCAGCTTGTAACATTCCATAGAAGTAGTATAATAATTTACTTATTCTCATCGGAACTAGTTTCTTTTGTAACAGTCCCTGGAACTAGTTTAATAAGTAAAACTAGTTGGAACTAGTTCAGCTTGTAACATTCCATAGAAGTAGTATAATAATTTACTTATTCTCATCGGAACTAGTTCAGTTTGCAACAGTCCCTGGAACTAGTTCATTAACTAAAACTCATTGAAGGTAGTTCATCTCGTAATACTACATGGAACGTGTTCAATAAGTAAAACTCATCGGAACTAGTTCAGTTTGTAACAGTCCCTGGAACTAGATCAAAAAGTAGTTCAATGGAACTGCATCGATTCTTATTGGATTTCGAAGCAAATCGCTTTTTATATGCTTGAATTTTGATTGACGCAATCATGTTGGCTAGTGTTATTATCTAAGAGTATTTAAAATTCGAATTCGAATTCGAAGTTCTCGAATTTTCATGCTTTACTTACCTCGCCGTGTGAATTCTATTTCGAGTGCCATTTAATCAATGCCAGAACTGAGCAAAGAGCAAGTCGGACACATCACGGCAGCTGCCAACGTGTCAAGGGGGCGTGGCACATCTCGAACAGTAAAGGAAAAGGCAGTTAGCTATAGAGCTGGAGCTTTGTTTATTGTATTCCTAAAGTGATTACAAAATAGAAGCAGGAGGAAAAAAAATAGACACATTTTACGAGCTAGAGCAATTCCAAGGCATTCACACACACAGACACGCAGAGACACACACACACACATACGCACTCACACACACGCAGACATCAACATATACACATGCACGCAATGGGTGTCCATCCACTGTCAGAGCTCACTGTATCTCCTCGTTGATGAGCTTCTTCAGCGTGCACTCGCCGGCGCCCAGCTTATGGAGTATGGCGAGAATCTCCTCGCGATAGCGATCCTTGTGAGCCAGCTCCTCGGGTGCGTACTCCTCGGCGCCCAGCCTGGTCATGCGCCAGATGACGTTCAGCTTGGCCTCGATCAGCACGTAGTTGGATGGCGGGCAGAAGCGCGGGCACAGCTCGTTGATGAAGTGGATCATGTCGCGCACGCTGCACGTGTTGATCCGATTGTTGATCGTGTTCAGGGCAAAGTCCTGATAGCGCGCCATCTTGGCGTGCGGAAAGACGTTCTCGCAGCTGAGGCAGCGCCAGTCCGGCTGCAGCGTCTTCGTCTGCACGGGTATGACCAGGCCCTTGCAGCCCTGCTCCCGGCAGAACAGAGCGGACAAATACGTTCCGTTCTCCTGCAAAACAAGAAATGCAACTCAATCAGACAAGGGCGAGTGAGCTGGACTCCCTATAGAGTATGGGAGCGATTCCAATTGGACTCCACTTGACATCAAATGCAGAAAAGATGGCAACGCTTTGCCTATATGCGAGACTTTTACAACACTGGCTGCCCTCTTTGCCGCACGCTAATTTTGAAATTTCAAAAGTTTCCAACTGCCAACTGCCGATGCGAGTGCTGCCAGATGGATATGCAAAATAAGGTGGCAGCACGGCTAAAACTGGCTCAAGTGGAAATGTCGAAACGTTTTCTGAATATAATTTATATACATATTTTCTTTTATCTAGTAAAGCTATTCGTCTTAGGCGTGGGCCTGAATAGATTCACTTAGAAAATCTATGTTCCATTTAGGAACTCACTTAAAAATAAATCTTAAATCTTAGCCGAAAACATATATAGATCAACAAAGTGAACCAAACTTTTAGCTAACTTGTAAAACTTAAAGTAAACTCCTTAAAGACTTACCCAAAATCAATAAAAATTACAAATAAATTCTATGGACTGGGAAATATCTATTCTAAGCAACAGAACTTTTATCCCGCTAATAGATACATGCAATTTTTCATTTAGCAGAACAGAGGAGTCATTTCGGATAAGATTGTTCAATAGCGGATAATGGTTAAGCAAATGTAATCACTTCGGATAAGATTGTTTAATAGCGGATAATGGTTAGGTAATATTTTACAACAAATCTAATACTTTCGGATAAACATTTACAATAGCGGATAAGGGTTAAACTATATTGAATGATGGAATTAAATAGGCTTAGTACTTATTTTCAATGAAGTCGGATAAAATCATTATAAAAGATATTAAATAATGCGTGATTCAAATATCTTGACCTGCGCTTGGTATACAGAAATAAACATTAAATGCTTCAAGGCAGAACTGGATCGAGTCAGAATATATATACTTTATAGGGACTGATACGCCTGCTTCTGCCCGTTACACGCATTTTCAGGAAATCAATAAATTTGCGGTATACAAAATAGACTTGAGTAAACCTGCAAAGATGTTAGAGAACTTGGCAGTTGGAAGAGCACCAATATGCCGTGGATGATCACCTGTTCATATATATATATGTATATATATATATATATATTTGTATGCTATAATTTTAGGTTGTCTTCTGCGCTTCCGCTATGTCTTTGCCATTGGCATAGTCCGCCCGCATCGGCTAGAGACCGGAATGGCCTAGGTTGGGTTAGGTTGGATTGGCTTGGCGTTGGGGCAAGCTAGGGGTAGCTGGGAGAGGGGGCAGTCATACAGCTATCAACCACGATGTCGTGGGGGCAGTGGGGGATGTCATGTCCGAAAATGCGGCAGCTGCCTTGGCTGTCTGTGTCGCCTCGCTGTCAGTTATGGGTCTGGGTCTCGGTCTGGTCATGTTGCACTAATGAGCCTCACGCTCATGTTCCCGCACTAGTTGGAGCACTACAAACACACACATACACACAGACATATCTATATCTATATCTACAGCTATATCTATACCTGTATCTATATCTATATATATATGTAGGTCTGCCGGTTCTGCACCATCAGCGCAAGTTCATGCAAAAATCATACAACTAATCTAATTAAGCGCATTTTTGTCATCTCGCTGCCAAATGCCATTATTCAGCTAATCCAACTGAGTTATATACATAAAGGTATAAGAGAATGCTAGCCATATAATTCTTATAAGCATAAATATATGTATATATAGATAGGCTTGTGTATATATAAATCTGCCTTGGCTATATGGCAAATGCTCACACGCAGCTGCAGACTCTTTCGGTTCTATTCAAAGATATTTCTTGCAGAGACACAAACATTTCACATTTCACATTTCACATTTCAGAAATTCCAATAATTGTTTTATGTCTGGCTAGAGATGACCCATTCCTATTCCCATTCTCATTGGTCAAGACAATTTCAGAGACCTATATTCGAAATAATTAATATAAATATTTCCAACTAAGTTTTTCTTCTGATACAACTTTTATCCAGCCAATAGGAACATGAAATTTTTAATTTAGAAGAGCTGAAGAGCTAAAGTAATCATGTCGGATAAGGTTGCTTATTAGCGGATAACGGTAAATGATTATATACAACAAATATAATCATTTTGAATAAGAAATTTTAATAGCGGATAATCAAATAGTAAAAGTGTAGGACGAAATTTATGGAATATATCAGTCTATAATCCATTTAGAGTTAATACAACTTTTTCGGATAATTATCTATATCAGTGGATAATGTACATCCCATGAAAACATAATAAAAAAGGTCGATTTAAAAGGTTGCTGTCGTATATTAATCGATCAATAGTAAAAATAAATAGATAAACAATCTCGGATAACGGATATCAGATGATAAAACGAACTAAAAAATCGTATATTTGGTAGCAAGTCCAGAAATGAAGGATTATTGTTGTCAAATCAATAACGGATAACGAATATTGAATGATGAATTGTTGAGTGAGACTTGTTGGAAATAATGCTGTTTTGGATAGTAAAGAATGGCTATCACATAAGGAATATAACTCGTCTGGATAACAGTTATCGGATAACGACTGTTGCATTATGAAAAGGATATGCAATATACAAAATGTGCCAGGGTTTCGGGATAGAGGCATTCTCATAACGATAACCAGATATCGGATGTCGGATATCGGATAACGGATGACGGATATCCAGTGATGGGAACGCATGAGAGTGAAGAGTGGAGAATCTACTCACGGAGTTGTCGTTGCAGCGCTCGCAGTTGCACACAAAGTACTTGGTCATCTTAAGGAATATGCCGCGAGTGAGATTGCTCCAGAGGATCTTGGTGTAGGTGGTGGTTATTTCGCCGCCCTTCGGTATGTCGCGGGCCGCACGCACCACCGCCAGCCGCCCGTTCTCGAAGTAGTGGCTGGCGTTGGGCGTGCACTCGTGGTTCATGATGGCCGTCAACGGGAAGAGGCCGCGCAGCAGCGACTCGTGGCCATCGACGCGACACGGCGCCTCAAAGGCGTTCGTATTGAGGACGCCCACGACACGGAACAGCTGATCCATGAAGGGCTTGTCTGTGGTGGGAAACTTTCGGAAGCACTGCGCCGCCTTGATGATCTCCTGGCGATAGCCACGCTCCGCATTCGCCTGCATGGCGTCCACCAGAGCGCGCTGCTCCTTGCTCAAATAGAAGACCCGAACGGCGGTCAGAATGCGCAGCGAGAGCGGATTCACTGCATCCGTTTTCTCGCCAGCCGCTGCCGGCTCCTTGCACTCCTCGCTCAAGTCCTTCGGCAGCCAGCGCTGGAAGTGCGCGCACTCATTGTGATGCGCCTCCGAATCGGCGCAGTCGCCACAAACGGGCAGCGTGCAGCGATGCGGGCAGAGGAATTGCTTGGCCGCCAGCAGCCGATGGCAGCAGACGCACGTGTTCAGCTGCGAGCCCTTGCGCGCGGTTGGCCCAACGACCAGCGCGCGCTCCCTAAAGATGAGCTCGCCGGCGGCAATGTCGCGTGTGGCGAACACGCCGCGACCGGCCACGGGCGATGGCGCCAGCATCCAGTTGGGCAGCTCCTCGCGCAGCTCGCCCAGGTGCACGTCGATAAGTCGGGCCAGCTGGTCCGGTGTGGTGTTGCGACTGGGCGCCATGTGGGCGACCATGGCGGCCGTTGTATTGATGCGCTCCGTCATACTCGCTCTCTCCCTCTACCTCTATCCCTCACTCTCTCTGTCTCTCTCTCTCTCTCTCTGTCTGTCTCTCTGGCCAGGATCGGCACAACGTTGCAGCGAAACAGGCAAACCACAGAGATTCCTACGAGTCGAGGCAACGCGACGCGACGTTTGTTTGCGAGTGTTGGCGATTGGCGACTGGCGACAAGACCAGGCGAGCAGCTGGGCAGCGACAGCGTCAGTGACAGCGACAGCGACAGCGACTGCGACGCCCAGCGCCAACTGAGGCAGCGGCCGCGGCAGCGACTGCGACAGCGACGCCCTCAGAGAGTGTATTAAACGCAAAACTAAAAAGAAGGAAACACACACACACGCACACACACACACACACACACAAATTAGAGGCAGCAAACAGCAACAACTAGAAAAATATGATTTATCCAAGGCGCTACATGCACACACGCACACCCGCACACCCGCACACACGCACACACATGCACAGGGGCAAAGCCGCTTACGCTTTTGCTTTTGACTCTTATTCAATTTTGTGTTGCATTCAATTGGATTCGATACAACAACAACAAGAACAACAACCACGCATGACTAGCGCATGGCGTGTTGACGTCCATGACACACACACACACACACACACACACACCTCTGCTGGCGGCCACCCTGCCTCCACCCCTTGCCCCTGGAACAAGAGCCGTCGCAGCAGTCGCTTTGCTTTGCCTGTCACTTCGATTTGTCATTTCAATTTGTATGACACGCCCCCTCGCAAGGCGCCCACTGCGACGCTGCGGTTATGAGCCGCCGTTGCCGCCGCTATAAATACGCAACAGCAACAGCAGCAGCGAAATAGAAGCAGAAGTAGAGGAAGCAACAGCATCAGGCGCTGCGCCCACGTGTGGCGACTTTCACATTTTTGCGGCTTCCGGCTGGAACCGCAGCGCAGATTTCAGACTTGCTCCCATTTTTATTTTTGCTGCACTTGGTCACTGAGCGTGGGCGTGGCGAGCGTTGAGGGACTTCGCCTCTCTGTGTGTGTGTGTGTGTGTGGCGCGTGTTGATGCCACATAAATTAAGACATTGCCAAAGCGGATTGCGTGCCGCGTCCATATGACAATGGCCCCAGCCAAATGGCATCATCAGCCACAACCGCACCGCGCCGCGACACGTGACCAGCAGGCGAAACACACCAGGTGACTGCCTCACGTTGTCACCGAAAGCACAAAGCCAAAAACAACAAAAAGCCAAAATGGGCCAAGCACACACGCACACGTTGCGTATACGCCGCTTGGGCCACGCACAAAGACAAAGTGCCCCAAAATTTTGGCCCCAAAATCTGTTCTAGACACACGCACATCTATCCCTTTTCTTTGTGGAACCACCCCCCCCCCCCCCTCCCCCATTCAACCTGGGCATGCCCTATTTTATTGAAAAAACACTCTCCACGCAAATTAAAAACAAATCAACAAAATCCAAACTAAACCAAATATTTAAACAACTAAAACTTGAGAGGAAACAAAAACAATTTTTCATATTTCATTTTTCATTCTGTTTAAATTTTTGCTTGAAATTTATATTTAAACACACAAAAAAATATTTAAAATAAAAGTAAATCAAGAAGGCATAATAGTTGGCAGCAGTCGACCGGGCTCGACTAGGCCATACCCTGGGCACAGGCCTACAATCATTAATCGATAATAATCGATAATTATTAATTTAAACTTCGAAAAATCTCAGAATTAATATAAATATTTTGGATCTGATTAATAAAAAGAAAATTAGAATTTAATTTGGGCATGGATTCTATAAAATCGATAATTATCGATTAGCATTGACATCTACTTGAAGCTTGCAGAGATCTACAACGTCTACTGCACAGTGTGTATCACCAAAAATCTTAGAGTCATGCTTTACAATAATCGAAAATCGATATTAATCGATATTTGATTGAAACACAGATATTTGATTGAGGTCTAAGATTTCAAGTTTACTGCTTGCTACTCCAAGTGCCGCACCCAAGTTAGTCAAGCCCTTGCTTAGCATTTTCTGCAGGGTATTGGCCATATCAACGCAAACAAAATGTTTTTCTTTTGGTTATGGACGCACGTCAGTTGCGTTTTGATATGTTTTCCCGCGTGTGGCGCGCCGCGTCGCGGCTTCTTCACCCAATAGCCAAAGATTTACAACAGCGCCCCCTGGCGTGCCGAATGTGCGTGCTTAAGCACCAAGTGTGTGAGGGAGCGAGAGGTTTCTATGTTGGTGTGTGTGTGTGTGTGTGTGTGTGTGTGTGTGTGCGTGTGTGTGTGTGTGTGTGTATTTGTACTTGAACTAGTTTGGACCTCCATTAGCTTTAACCTGGCAGCTTGCCCAGGCCCAAAGGAATATGCATTATGACAGGCAGCATGACAGAAAGGGTGCGGGGCAGAGGCTCACATACGTATGTATCGCTACATGTGTATGTTTATGCACAGCGGGGCAGGGAGTGACGTTTTCATTCAAAATATTTAACAAGCGCAGCGAAAACAGCGGGGATAAAGATCAGGAAGGGCAAGTGGCCGAGCAGCAGAGATTTACATCGTGTCAAGAAGAAATGTTGGCTCATAGCTCAACAAGTTGTCATTCAGAGGCATTTTGCTGAATGGGAGAGCAATTTGATTGCGAATATCATTTGTTCGGTGCCAAGCGCTGTAGAACCTTTAATGTATTTATAGCTTCATTAGGAAACCACTAATTATTGCTTTGCACAAATATTTCATTTTGTTATTTCTATGACAATTATAATTTTGCATCAATTATCATCCACACTGATTTCTTTTCGCAGCATTCAAAATATCATTCACAATAGTTTGCTTTAGCATTTGGTTGAACTCACATTTGACTATTTGTTTTGGTATTTTGCCGAATTGAGTAACATTCACAATGGCTACTTGGCCATTCGCCAATGCACCTAGAGATGTGAAATGCAATAAATCGATAAGTGAATTTCGTATTTTTCAAATAGACTGCGATCAAAACTATCGCAATTCTTGACACTTAAAACTAATTTCTTTTGTATCAAAATGAAAATGATTTTAGTGCAAAGTAATTAATTTTCCAACGCCAAATTTAATCGCATTTCACTTAGCACAGTTTCGCTGAATATTTACCTACACTCGACCTCATTGCAGCAACTCATTTTTAGGTTATGTTTATTTAGGATGTTTATTTAGGATATTTAAAGTAAGGTGAGATGCGATTGATAGAACTCGTCTAAAGCAACAACAAATAAGCCCGATCATCCAAGACAAACGGTTCAAATCAAGCAACACATTTGTTGCCATCTATTTAGACGTTTTATTTAATAGCAATGCTTCAATTGCTAACGAATGGGCTATAAATGTCCACGAAATGATGCTTATACACAGTTGAATGAACCTGGAAGCTGCGTGCCAAGTGCTAAAAATCACACAAAATACCGATTCATTGATGGCCGGATGGGCCAAAAACAGATGCGTAATCACGTTCACGTGTGTGCGTATCTATTGCCCCATATTGCGATACACTAGTACTCAGAGTGACGCAGATATAGATGCAGATATAGATACAATTTGTGAAACCGATACAGAAAGAGGTACACATAACGAAAGACTTACAGATGCGGATACTAATACAGAGGCACACACGTATAGAGATGCCGAATGTACAGCTACAAATATAGATACAGGCAGAGACACGGATACATATACAAATTCGAATGCATATGGATAAGGATACCAATAGAGATACAATTAGAGACAGGCATAAAGATAGAAGTAAAGATATAGACTTAGATACCAATGGATTTACGGATAAAAAAGCAAAAAAAAAAATAAACGTATACATCGAGGGATTCAATAAAGATTCGGATAAGGGTGCTAGAAGCTAAATAGATATACGGATAATGACACATGTCCACCTACACCAAAGAAGCACAGACTAAGATACGAGTTAGAAGCACGGATAAAGATACTAATGGGTAAATAGATATGCGGATAAAAGTGCAGATATATACTCATATGTAGACACACAGTTAGTGGCACGGATAAAATTACAACAAAGGAAAAAACTAGATAAGATAAGATGCAAATAGATAAGCAATATTCACACAAATTTAGATGCATATATGGATGCAGTTATAGATACGGATAAAGATACAGCTGCACATATAGATTGAGTAGGCACAGAGACACAGACAGAGAGACATAGGGAGGTGTTTGCTATTTTAGTACGTGTCACAATTACATACCCACATTTATAGACATAGCACACAAATGCACTCAGAGAGAGAGAGAGAATGAGAGAGAGAGAGAGAGAGAGAGACATCGGTCAACTCACCGTGGGATCCTGACAACGCGGACATTGGCACAGGAAGTGCTTCGTCATGCCGAGAAAGATCTTGCGCGCGAGCGTGGACCAGAGGAGCTTCGTGTAGGACATGGTTATCTCCCCGCCAGCCGGAATGCGCTCGGTGGCAGTGACCACAATGGTCTCGCCATCCTCGAAGTGGTGCGCCGCATTCGGCGTGCACTGGTGATTGAGCAGGCCGGCCAGCGGGAAGAGAGCCCGTGCGACCACCTCCTGGCCATCGACGTGGCAGCGACTCTCAAAGGCATTCGTATTGAAGGCGCAGACGGTGCGATAGAAGTACTCGAGTATGTCCGAGTCGCGCGGAAAGTGCTCGAAGCACTCGGCGGCCCGCTGGACCTCGCGCATATAGTAGCGGTCCGCGTTCGCCTGCATCGCATAGAGCAGCTTGCGCTGTGCCTCGCCGAGGAAGAAGCAGCGCACCACACTGAGGATGCGCAGGGCGCGCGGATCAATACTGGTCGGATGCTTGGGCTGCCATTTGCGGAAGAGCTGACACTCGACGGCATGGCGGTCAGATGCCCCGCAGTCCGGACAGACGGGCAGGCCACAGCCGGCGCTGCAGAGCGCTGACTCCTCGCTCTCGCCGGGTGGTTGGTGGTAGCACTGGATGCAGGTGCGCAAATTGCGGCCGCGATGCGCGGTGGGACCAACCAGCAGCGTGTGCTCGCGGAACAGCTCCTCGCCCTTTTCAATGTTGCGTGTGGCGAACACGCCACGCCCCGATATGGGCGAGTCGGTAACGCGCCAAGCGGGCGACGACGGACGCAGTGCACCCAAATGGGCGTCGATCAGTTCAGACAGCTCCTGCGTGGTGACGCCGATGGCCATCT